CGGCCCAACCCCTTGGGCCGTGGCCGGGTCGGCCCAAAGCAACTCGGCCATGGGCCGAGCCCGGCCACGGACGAGCTCGGTACCATGGACCCGGCTACTGCCGAGCCGAGTCGGTCCATGGTGGACTCGGCTAGCCCGAGCTCAGCACATGCCCGGCTCGGCCATGCCGAGTCGCCCCGCTTTGGACCCGGTCCCGGAGGGGACGCGGTCAAAGTGGGACGATCTAACCACCCCCGGTTCTAGGGGTGCGGTTGGGGGTTGAGCTGGTATAAAAAGCTCTCTCCTTGTCCTAACAAAGGACCCTGATCATTATCTGACACAACATATTCTTGAACTACTATCTTCTAGCATTATTGTCCTAATCAAGTCTTGTAATAGCTTATTAGCGATAATTAATACAATATACGGTCCCTGCGACCTTACGACATCTCTGCGTTATATTATTTATTTCGTACACATTCTTATCCGGGTTTAATAATTCGGGCCACCCCGGGTGAATTAAATCCATCAATATATATGAAATACTTGAAAAGGGGTCCAAATTACAATGTCATACAAGACCTCCATTTTTATTGGAACGACCCTGATCATATGGGACGTAGTGATGAGGACGGTTTTCACGCATCCATCAAGTATCAAATTACAGTATAGAGTTTAAATATCGTTCCACTGGAGATGGCTCTTGTAATGTTAGGAATTGATGTAAAGTGGAGTTAAGCACAAGCTAAAACTACCCTTTTAGAAGTTAGACCTATCGATAAGGAGATGATTTGATATGATTAAGCTAATAACAAATAAGACAAGTAAAACAAAGGACCGGGACTTGGTTTATTCAAGCTAAGATGCCAAATATTGTACTAAAGATTAGGGAATTAAACAAGGCATAGGGTAAGTGAGATGCACAAAAGTGTCCAAATACCACTCTCGTAGCTATTTGGACTTGCAACCTCACATTGAACTCCACTCTCGTGACAATTCAACCCAAGGATGCCCAAACAAGAACACAAGGCAAAGATTCCCCTTAACACCCAAAATACTCTCGTATTCGGTATTAAGTGTGTGAATGTGTGGCTAGTGTACAAGCTCTACTCTCGTAGCAACAAACACACTCCAAAACAAGCATATAATTGGGATCCAACAATCATACACAAATTTCTCAACAAACCCATTTCACACAACAACCCTAGATCACCCAAATAATCCCCTTTATGCAATACAACTCAAATAGGCATCAATAGCAAGAAATCAAACCAAATCCAAGTCCTAAAACACTTAGCTACTCATAATCTAACAATAGATACACAATATTAAAAGAGAAATTCAAAGCATAGATGAAAAGTAAAGAGAAGAGATGAATAAGAAAACTTCTCTATTGAAGCCTTGAAATCCAAGATTTGCAATGTTCTTGAGCTTGGAAATGGAAAGAAAACACAAATCTACACTAATCTAAGCTATTCTAAACTAACCCTAACTAAAGAAATGAAAGGGGAATGAAAGATGTGTTTTTGGGGTGAAAAATCCCCTTTTAAATGAGCAAAAATGGGCTGCTATGTGTTGCAGAGAGCTGGCCACGGGTGTGGCTTCACCCGTGGCCAGAAATGCAGGGCACACTGCCCAGTGGCCACGGGTGTGGCCACGGCCGTGGCCACACCCGTGGCCACAGGCAGTGTGCACTGCCTGTGCACTGAGTCCATCTTCTAGGCATATTTTCATCCTCGAAACGTTTGAATTAGCCTTTGTGGTCTTCATCAAAGTTGTAGCCCTTGAAGTTAGCTTTTCAATGATATAAAAATCACTTGATTTGGACACTCCTAGACCGAGATATGGTCAAAATACGGAGACTGCGCCAATCTGGGCGAGAAATGCCACCTTACTATCTTTTGCTTTGCCTTTGCTTTGAATTGCCTATATCATTAAAACCACTAAGGCACAAATATTTGGCACATGGAAGAGTGTTGTTCAATCTTCTTTTCTTCATTTTGCCTCACAAAAATATCCTCATGCTATGATGACTTGAAATCTTGATCAAATAACTCAATGTTTGGGTCAAAACATCATTTTCTTGTCAAGTCACCTAAGCACAAACAATCATTCCATAAGTTACCAAATTGGCTCAATAATATAATGATTAACAAGTAAAAATACCAAAATATACAAAGAAAAAGCATTAGCTTTAGACATTCATCACGTAGCATTAGAGTACATTTGATGGATATTAACAATTCCAATAGTCTTCTATAAGTGGCCAACAAATACTCAAGTTTTTAATTGGATACGGCGCTTGTGGTATGGAACGAAATGGGATGTAGCATTAGAGTTTACTTTTGATTTTATGAATATATTCACAACTCCAATTGTCTTCTAGCGGTGCCCACTGAAATTTTCAATTGAATAAAGGGTTTGTGGTTAGATGGAATGAGATGTAGTCAAGTTTAAAGCTATTCGTTGAAGACTCACGATCGAGTCAAAACTCAATGTTCTACAGATGAGATGCCCAAGAAACACTAAAGTCTTCCATGCATTAACGTATGGCATTTAATAATTCGTGTTGCTTATTCGATTTTTGTTAAGTTCAATGAATTAACTTATTTACGAATAATTAGATGACACCGCTTTCAAAAAAAAAAAAAAAGGGATAAAGTACAAATAAGTCACTGTATTATTTGGGAAAAAGTAATTAAGCCATCGAACTCAAATAACCCCCAAATAAGCCATTGAACCCGGAAAAAAAAAAGTAATTATCATTTTTAACAGGTTAACTCCAAGTTTTTGCTGACTCGATTGCCAAATGTTTATTTTATTTACGTTTTTTTTTTATTATAATCCACCTACATAGTAATATATTTTAAAGTAATTATAATCAAAGTAGTTTTGTTTTGTCTAGATTTAATTTATTTATTTATTATTATTTTGTAAACAAAAGATCCAGTGAAAAAATAATAATAAATAAATAAATCAAATCTCGACAAGACAAAACTATTTTTATTATAATTACTTTAAAATATAATACTATCCAAGCGGATAATATTAATAAAAATAATAATAAACGTAAATAAAATAAACATTTGGCAATCCAATCAGTAAAAACCTAGAGTTAACCTGTAAAAAATGTTAATTGCACTTTTTTTCAGGATTCAATGGCTTATTTGCTCTTTTTTTCTGGGTTCAATGGCTTATTTGAGGGTTATTTGAGTTCGATGGCTTAATTGCTGTTTTCCAAATAGTTCAGTGGCTTATTTGTACTTTATCCCAAAAAAAAAGGGGTCAGGTTAAATTTAAGTTGTATGTCAAAATCCGCTTAGAACCTCATCCGATTCACTATGTATATATATGTGACAATTAATATCATAGAACAGGACCTACATAGCATTATAGACCTTGGACTAAATTGATGATGTACAAAATTCATACTCGTGACGTACAGAATTGTATAATACAAAACACAAAAGATCACAACACAATTCAAAATACATACACATGTCATGTATTTACTTTTTTTTTCAAATCTAATTTATTTACATAATTTGTGTTCATAGCAATGTATATGTATTTTCAATTGTGTTGTGATTTTTTGAATTCCTAAAGAAATAAATCCAAGTCTCTTGATGCATGCTCCGCCTTTCAGTTCCTACTCTCACTGGTACCACTCTTAAATTTTTTTGATTTGATTTCTTTATGACTTGTTCTCTTTTTGCACTTTTGTTGTTTGCCGCAATTGTTCTTTACCTCACAATTGTATCTAACTTGAGTTATTCTTACAATATTCAATGTTTTCCTTAGTTTTATGTTTCTATGAATTTAATAATGTGCTTTAACATCATTCTAATTTTGATTTCCAGTGCACTGAAATTATTTTCTAGTACTGAAATATATTTCCAGTACACTGGCATGACGAAATGTGTCCAAAAATTAACTATACAGTACTTGACACTTGTTCTTCAAATATTAACTATACAGATAGATGATTATTCATCTTGTCAATAAAATATTCCAAGTGAGTCAACTAAAGAGTTGGTTATACAAAAAAGTCAACTAATGTTTGGTAATTAATACTTAGTAGTGTGTTTGAACTTGTTGTATAATATAATGTTTAGACTTTGGATTTGGATTATGTGATTATGTGAATATGTATTATTTGGTTGTATATTCAGAAAATTTGAAAATGTTGAAATTTGAGGATCTTAAACTGAACTGAAATCGAACCGTTTCAAACCAAACCGAAATCAAGCCGAACTCTAATGTTAAACCGAATAGTTTAATTTTTAGAAAACTGAAAATTCAAAATCGAAAAAAAAAAATGAACCGAAGCCCGAAATGTCCATCCCTAAAAGCTATAAGATGAATCAAATGATGAATGTAGTCTTTCCCGACTCAACTCCCAACCAATTGTCATCCCTAGCTAATAGATGCTCAATAATCAATTAAGACTACACCGTGTTCAAACTTGAAAGCAACGACGTCATGCCTCAATTAATATGGACAATTAATTGAGGACAATTAACAATTAATATTGATCGAGTCTCACTAACGGTAGTGTGGGAGCAACCTCTCAAAATGATAGGGAGTTCCTTGTGCGCAGTGAGCAAAGGTCTAGCCTTTGTGATTCATGTTCAGTTGAGTTACCATGATTTGCATCCTCCCAAATGCTCTGTCGGGTAGGGGTGTGGGGAGCCTTTAGGGTTGGGTTCAGTCTTTTGGAAGAATTAAGAATAACAAATAGGTGGCCATGCCTCAATTAATATGGACAATTAACAATAATAAATAGATGGCAAAAATCAATTGAATTTATTCATCCTGCCATATCACTACTCATCAATACCATACCCTTGCTTGCTCTCAATTTGCATATCATCATGTTGAAGCTAAGTTTATCATTCTCTTCTCTGCTTTTATTATTACTCTACTTTATAAGTGTTTGCTCCGGCATGAACATTACTACTGATGAATCCTCTCTTCTTGCTTTGAAATCAAGCATTAACATCAACTCTCATCATACCATAATGGCCAACTGGTCTAATGCTTCCTCTGTGTGTGAGTGGAAGGGAGTTACATGTGGCCGTCGTAATCGACGAGTAATTGCTTTAGACATCTCCCAAATGGGACTTTCTGGAACCATTCCCCCACAATTTGGAAACCTCTCATTTCTTGTTTCCTTCAATGCAAGTGGCAATAGTTTCAGTGGGATTCTACCTGATGACTTAACTCATTTGCGTCGATTGAGAGTCTTTGATGTTAGTGCCAACAATCTCACTGGAGAAATTCCTTCACAGTTTGGGCTCTTGTCCAATCTTCAAATATTGATTCTTGATCACAACCTCATCACCGGATCTATCCCTCTTTCCTTTCTAAACTTGTCAAATCTAGAAACCATGCACTTGGGTTTTAATAAATTCAAGGGCTCTATCACATCTACAATCTTCAATGTTTCCACCTTGAAAAGTATAAGAATCTTAGACAATCATTTCTCTGGTATCATTCCCTTAGATTTGTGTCTTCGACTTATAAATCTGATAAGATTCGACGTAACTAGTAACTTTTTAAGTGCGGAAGTGCCAAAGAGTTTATCCATGTGTTCCAAAGTAAGATATTTGGGATTGAATTATAACGGCTTTGTGGGAACAATACCACCAGAACTTGGGAACTTAACAAGTCTTAAAATCCTTCGTCTTGGAGGTAACAACCTTGAAGGTACGACATAATCCTTAATTCTTTGCTTACGTAATTGCTATTTCCTTTGAGAGTTTCATATATTGTTGATTGAATATAATGGTACACAGAGGTTAGCATATTCCTACTAGCTAGTTATATCTTTATTGAACTTAGGGGCGATTGGTTCACGGAATGTTATATTATCTTAGTGAATATGATAGATTGCTGGGAATGTTAGATTCATGTGTTTGGTTTAAAACTAATGTATGTAATAGAAATCTATTTGGTTGAAGAGTTATTTTTTATGGTATGATGATTATTTTTACTTGAATACTATTAACCTATTTTTATGTATTTTAATAAATTTAAAATTAAAATAAATAAATAAGACAATGGTAAAATATAGAAGTAAATGATTTAAAATTAATTAAGAGTTTGAACAATAATTAACTTAAACAATGGATTAAAATGACAAAATTAGCAATAACCAAGGGAATGTGAAAATACCTAAGAAAATGGCTAAAAACCTTATTTGGAGGTTATGTTATTCCCGAGAGAAAATTGCATAACTTGAACTAAACATGAAAATCTTATATTACCAAGCAAATATAACATTAATTATCTTATATAACCTAAACCAAACACCCCCTAAAGTGTCTCATTATTTTTATTATTTTGTGATATAAAATATCTGTTGTTTCAAAGAAACTTACAAAAAAATTGGAACGGTATATTAAATTCTAAGCAAATATACACATAAGGAACAAATAGATTATATGTCAATGGTCTATATTTATTAATTTCTAAAATCAGAATTATTAAGTCAAAATAAAACAATAAACAAAAATTGTGAAATAATATATAATTTTAATTACTTGTTAAGAAAATTGAAAAATCAGTCGTTTGTTGAGTTGCATCTATCGTCTGCTGTTTGCGTCAATTGTGTGCTGCCTGCTGAGATTTGCGTCAATTTTATTTTTTTGAAAATAATATTGGCCTGATATTAAAAATAAAATCTACCAAAAATTGATATCAACTATCAAGTTCAAAAATTCTGATGTTGATCAAACCAGAATGTCATAATAAATTAAGGAATAAACGTTAAATAAGCCACTCAACTGCACACCAAACTGCAATTAGGCCACTGAACTCAAAAAAATATATATAATTAAGTCATTGAACAACATAAAAACATACAATTTAGCCCAAAATGACTTGTTTACCTGATGTAGCAAGTTACCAATTTTTAAAATAATTTTTAATAATTAATTAAAATTAAAAAAAAAAAAAAAAAAAAAAAAAACTACCGGTGGGCCGGCTTCGTCTCCATGGCCGGAGACAAACCTCCGTCTCTAGCCATGGAGACAAAGGCCTTCGTCTCCATGGCCAGGAGACGAAGGTTCCTTCGCCTCCCTGGCCATGGAGAAGAAGGTCTTTGTCTCCATGGCTGGAGACGGAGGTTTGTCTCCGGCTGGCAGTTTCTGTTTTTTTTTTTTTTTTTTTTTTTTTGTAATTATTTATTATTTATTTATTAAAAATTATTTTAAAAAATTAATTTTAAAATCGATAACTTGCTACATCAGGTAAACAGGTCATTTTGGGCTAAATTGCATGTTTTTGTGTTGTTCAATGGCTCAATTGCATTTTTTTTTAGTTCAATGGCCTAATTGCATTTTGGTGTGCAGTTGAGTGAGCTATTTGATCCTTATTCCATAAATTAATAATCTTAAAAGTTGAACATGTAGTGTAGATGGTGTAGTGCTGATGTGTTGTTCAATGCCGGTCGCCAATTAGGCTTGCGTAGTTGCGTTAATCAATTGGTCTCTGTTGATTAGGCTTGTGCAGCAATAAAAATCACTAGCTACGGTTAGTTGATTAGGGTAATAGGGTTTGAATTCTGAAATTTCGGGACTACGCTGATCGAACGAATTACGAATGTATTATCCTGTATACATATTTTTTTTTTAAATATGGGGCCTCAAAAAATTGAGAGCCCTGTGCAAAGGGCAAATTATTGTGTGGTCCATGGTCCAACAATGTTATGTGGAGCATAATAAAAAATACAATTTCAATATACTAAATGTATATTATTTTTGTACTGAATGTGCAAAGGCTCTGGGCATACTTGCCCAGGGCCGACCCTGGTAAAAGACAAGACCAGTAGTGTTTAAATTGAGATTGAGTTATAAGTCTTATAACTTCGAATGCCATGTAAGATCATATTTTTACACTATTACATTGCAAAAATACTCTAGTTAATAGTTTTTTTTTTTTTTTTTTTTTTTTTTTTTTACGCTCTCAAATTGCAATATAATTCTAGAATAATACTTTAGCTAGTTGAACAAGATATATTGCGGCCTTCAGTTCTACTTATACTCAATCTCTTTTATTAAACAAGTGCTCTAATAACCAACTGTGTTTATGAAATTCAATTTCTTTTTATTAAGAAGATTAAAAAATATTTCTACCAAAATCTAAAAATTGATATAATTTCTTTTTTCACAGGAAGAATTCCTAAAGAAATTGGTTGTCTACATGACTTGGAGCAATTAGAAATTGAAAACAATCACTTAACGGGCTTACTACCACCACATATGTTTAACATGTCTTCACTTCAAATGTTGAACTTGAACACCAACAAGATATCAGGTAATTAGCTATTGAATATTAGCATTTTGCTCTTTTATTGGATAATTGGACTTTCCATTCCCAATATATTTTATGAACCAAACGTCATGTTAGAATTTTGTGCTATGTTCAGTCTGACCAAGTCAATTGATCTTTTAGAACAACCAATACCACTAGTTGGTCTAGGCCCTAGGGAAAGTGAAAAGTTTAAAGGGTGTGGGTTGAATAGACTTTAAAAAAAAAAAAAATGGAACTTGTTGTAGATTGAGTTTTGTAGCGGAAGTCTTTAGACTTGGCCAAGGTTTTTTTTAGGTAGATTTAATTTGAACAAGTGAGTGTAGTGTGTGTTGTATAGATCGTTAGATAGAGAAAAAGAGCTAATCCCACATTGTGTGAAGGAGAATAGTAGAGTAGGGAATTTTCCAAACCACTATAAATCTTTCACCCTTTTTACTTTATAAGAACAAATAGAAGTGAATGAAGTTTTTCACCACACAATGCTACTTGCTTCCTCCAATGACAATCCATGAATGTAAGTCATGAGCTCCTCATTAATCTAATCTTCATTGTCTTATCAATTATCTTCACAAAAGGTCAGTTACCAAGTCGCCTTACTCAGATGATCTTTCAACACCTTTCAAAGAAAGATAGATGATTTTGATTTGACGTTGGACTATTAGAATATATATAGATGATTATTTTGGGTTAGAGCACTAAATATCATTTGAAAGCTTTTGAATCTCTCTTATAATCTTATGATCGAACTTGTAAGATCAGCTATACACGTTGGACAAATACATTCACTCTATGTTGGACTTACACCTTCACATAGTGCATATATGCATGTTCTCTGATATGATCTAGCTAGTACCATAACAAATGACAATCATATTTCACTGTGATCTATTTTCACTTGACTAGTAATGATGTGTAGGAATAATGAGTATGTAGGTCTTTTCTTTTCTTTTCTTTTTTGAAATTCCACAGCAGACAATGTGAAAAAGTGCTTTGCAGTATATCATATTGATTGCTATGAATAATTTTAGATGGAAGATTTCATCTTTTAGTAGTGTCTTCAATATATTAATATGTTTTCATGATGTATTAAAAAAAATTCTTGTACGATTTGGTAGGTACAATACCTCGAGAGATGAGCAATCTTGAAAAGTTGGAGTACCTTTATTTACAACTCAACTCTCTGAGTGGTTCCATACCGTGGGGTATATTCAATATATCTAGCCTATTAGGACTAGATCTTGGGTTCAATCATCTTTATGGTAGCCTTCCCTCTAAAATGGGTTATAAGCTTCAAAATATAATAAAAATTGGCCTCAATGTTAATAACCTTAGTGGAGCTATTCCAAGTTATATCTCCAATTGTTCTAAACTAGAAGTCTTATTCCTCGATAGTAACAGTTTTAGTGCCCCAATTCCTTACTCTTTGGGAGAATTAAATTTTTTGGAAGAATTGACAATATCCGATAACAGGTTGACAAGTGAATCCTCTTCTACAGGGGTCAATTTTTTGACTTCATTGGCAAATTGTAGATACTTGAGCACACTAGTGATATCTAATAATCCTCTGAATATTGTCCTGCCAAGTTCCTTTGGTAATCTTTCCAACTCCCTTAAGATCTTTGTTGCATTTCGTTGTAATATAAAGGGCAAAATTTCAAACAAATTAGGTAATTTAAGTAGTCTCATGGGAATAGACTTATCACAAAATGAACTGACTGGAGTTGTTCCTAGAGGCATAAGAGGTTTAAACCAACTTCAAAGGCTGCACCTTGGAAACAATAAACTAAGTGGGTGTTTGCCGAATAGCATTTGTAGTTTGAAATACTTGGACAGTTTGTCTTTAAGTGAAAATCATATTTGGGGTTCTATTCCTGAATGCATAGGGAATGCTACTTCAATAAGAGAGATCTATCTAAGCTCTAACAGATTGAGTTTCAACATACCATCCAGCCTTTGGAAGCTTAAAGACCTTTTGAAACTTAACTTGTCTTCAAATTTATTGAATGGCTCTTTACATCCAGAGATTGGAAACATGAAAGTTGCAATATACATCAATCTATCAAGGAATCAATTTTCTGGCTATATTCCAACTACCATTAGAGGATTGCAAAGTTTAATAAACTTTTCCTTAGCTAATAATCTTCTAGAAGGACCTATCCCTGATTCTTTTGGAAGTATGATTAGTTTGGAATACTTGGATTTGTCAAATAACAATCTCACAGGAGGGATTCCTAGGTCCTTAGAAGAGCTCCACTATCTCAAAGGTTTCAACGTATCTTTCAATAGGTTAAGTGGAGAAATCCCTAGCAAAGGTCAATTTGTAAATTTCACTTATCAATCTTTTCTGTCCAATGAAGATTTGTGTGGTTCTCCAAGGCTAAAAGTGCCACCTTGCAATGTTCATTCTAATTCTCATCCATTAATAAGGAGAGCACTTCGGATTGTATTCATCTCTGTGGCTATGTTGATAGTGGGAATCTCAGTGATTATACTTTTATTATGGAAATGCAAAAGGAAAAGTTCCACAGTCAATGAGGTTAACTCTTTACAAAAAATAGTGCCGTTGAGAATTTCATACTATGAACTTCAAAGAGCAACTGAACGGTTTAGTAGTAATAACTTGCTAGGGGCTGGAAACTTCGGTTCTGTTTATAAGGGCACATTTGGAAATGGGTTACTCTATGCTGTCAAGGTTTTTAATTTGCAAGTTGAAGATGCATTCAAGAGTTTTGTTACTGAATGTGAAGTTTTGCGCAATCTCCGGCACAGAAATCTCACGAAGGTGATAAGTGCTTGCTCTAATATGGATTTTAAAGCACTTATACTTGAGTACATGCCTAATGGTAGTTTAGACAGCTGGTTGTACTCTGACAGGCAATCGTTGCACATCATGCAAAGATTAAACATAATGATCGATGTGGCATGTGCATTAGATTATTTGCACCATGGTTACTCAAGTCCAATTGCTCATTGTGATTTAAAGCCAACCAATGTTTTAATTGATGAAGATATGATGGGACATGTAAGTGACTTTGGCCTTGCGAAGTTACTTGGAGACGATGAATCGGTTGCTTATACCATAACCATGGCCACAATTGGATACATTGCTCCAGGTGATGATTAGCCTACTATATGTTTTATTTTTGTTTATTTCTTTTTAAGTGTGTTGCATAATTTTTATTTTTTCTCAAATGAAAAATAATAATTATAAATTTGACTTGTATTTGTATATCTATGTTAGAGTATGGATCAAGTGGTATGGTCTCCACGAAATGTGATATTTATAGTTACGGCATAATGTTGATTGAAGTGTTTACCAAGAGGAAGCCAAATGATGAAATGTTCACGGGAGATCTTAGTCTAAGGAGTTGGGTTTCTAATTCACTTTCTCATACTCTTGAAGAAATTGTGGACCCAACTTTAATGAGATCCGAAGAATTGAAATGTAGACAAAAATTGCAATACATATCATCTATTTTGGAGTTGGCTTTGAGTTGCACAACGGAGTCTCCTGAGGAGAGGATGGATGTTCAAGCTGTCCTGGCAAAACTAAACAAGATCAAACGTGAATGTCTCACAATTTTCTAAAATCTGCGGTATGCTACTTACATTTGTTAAAATAAGTGCTTTCAATGTATATGGACTAATAGCGTTAGTTTATGTTTGCAGGTTGGAGGGGGTGAAAGAAATATTTAAACACCATCTCAATTTAATAATATAATGTAGTAATAATGATTTCTTTTTCTTTTCTTTATATGTCTACCTCGTTTGTGTAATTGTATTATTTCAATATGCATGATTTATTATTTGGGATGATTATGTACTCATCTTTTTAAAGAACTCTTAAATGGTTGTCCTGTTATTCTCAAAAAAAAAAAAATGGTTGTCCTATTTTCTTATTACAAACATATTTAAAGTCAACTCTTAATAAAAGAGTATACCCTAAACTTAAATATGTATGATATAAATACCTATTTGTCTGGAAAATTTTTGTTTACAATGGCACATTTGGAAATGGATTACTCTTAGCAGCCAAGGTCTTTAATTTGCAAGTTGAAGATGCATTCAAGAGTTTTGCTATTAAATGTCAATTTTTGCACAATCTCCGCCACAGAAACCTTACAAAGGTGATAAGTGCTTGCTCTAATATGAATTTTGAAGCAATCATACTAGAGTACATGTCTAATGGTAGTTTAGACAGCTGGTTGTACTCTGACAAGAAATCTTTGTACATCATGCAAAGATTAAACATAATATAATGATCGATGTGGCACGTATGTTAGAGTATTTGCATTATGGTTACTCAAGTCCAATTACTCATTGTGATTTAAAGCCAACCAATGTTTTAATTGATGAAGATATGGTAGGACACGTAAGTGACTTTGGCATTGCGAAATTGCTTAGAGACGATGAATCAATTGCTTATACTATAACCATGCCCACAATTGGATACATTGCTCCAGGTGATGATTAGCCTACTATATTTTATTTTTGTTTATTTCTTTTTATGTGTCTTAGCTTGCATACTTTTCAATCTTTTTGTCAAATGAAAAATAATAATTATAATTTTAACTTTTTTGTATTTTGTATACCTATGTGTGAGTATGGATCAAGTGGGATGGACTCCACGAAATGTAATATTTATAGTTATGGCATAATGTAAATGGAAGTGTTTTACCAAGAGGAAGCCAAATGATGAAATGTTCACCGGAGACCTCCGTTTAAAAAGTTGGGTTTTTAATTAACTTTCTCATACTCTTGAAGAAATTGTGAACACAATTTTTTTTGAGGCCTGAAGAATTAAAATTTAGACAAAAATTACATTGTCTGTCGTTTATTTTTCAGATGGCTTTAAATTACATAACCGAGTCTCCTAAAGAGAGGATGGATGTTCAAGTTGTCCTGGCAAACCTAAACAAGATCAAACGTGAATGTCTCACAATTTTCTAAAATTTATGGTATGCTACTACTCACATTTGCTAAATTAAGTGTTTTCAATATATATGGACTAAATGCATTAGTTTATGTTCGCAGGTTGAAGGTGAAAGAAGTGTGTAAACACGATCTCAATTTAACAATATAATGTTGTAATAATGATTTCCTTCTCTTTTCTTTACTTTATTTGTCTCGTTTGTGTTAATTTCATTATGATTTAATATTTGAGATGATTATGCACTCATCTTATGCGTACCAGTGTTGCTAACTTGCTATCTTATTAGCCAATAACTTTATAATTTAGTGTACGAAGCGACTTTCTCAAATGAGAGGTCATAGAATTGAGTCTCAATGGATGCAGTATTAATTCTTTGTGTTTTAATAGGTTGAGAAGTAGTTATGAACTAATAATGTATTGTAGAGGAGTTAGTAGTATTCAAAAAAAAATTGATATCTTATTAAAGAACTCTTACAGGACGTTTGGTTGGAGATGGGGAATAACGTGGGAAAGGAATTGCAATTCCATGGGAAATGAATTACTGAGAATAAAGTATATACCTAATATGATATGATGATGCGTACAATTTTTGTTTGAGTACTACTGACTTCTTTTTTTTTTTTTGGTTTATCCAGGGTTTCCACTGTCGGACATAGTGACTAATCTCCTTGCTAAATTGTAGGCATCTCTTTTGGGCGGGAACTACTGACTTTATTACAATGTAGTATCTGTTCATTAGTTCATATCTATTTTCTCAACCTATTGAAGCACAAAGAGTCAATGTCACTTCCACTAAGGCTCGAACCCATGACCTCCCATTTGGAAAAGTCACTTCACTTCGTGTGTGTGTATATATATATATATATATATATATATATATATATATCAAATGCAATGCTTTTTCCAGATAAAAAATCCGCACAAATAATAACCTTTGGATCTAAGGTAAATTTTGTTCACGCTATTGCAAGAGATGCACGTTCCCATACTAGCTCATCTTGTTGGTTTACAACTAATTCTCATTGTATTGAAAATATTTTTTAATGAAATTTGCTTCCATTGATTTTTAAAAAAAGGTAAATTTTGATCTCAGTCATTGATTGTGAGGAGATGGGCGGTAGCATTGTTGTAATTAAGTTGAACTTAATTACCAAGTTTCCCTCGTCTGAGGGTAAAAGAGTAAAAAAAAAAAAAAAAAAAAAAGAACGAAACTCAAAACAACAGTACTAACGTCTCCCTTCCTGCCTTTTTTCATTCTCTGCACTATATCGCGCTCACCTCTACTAGCTACCCGCCTTCCCGTCTCCACTCCATAAATAACCTATCTTGCAAGGTTTTGAAGATTTTGGATATCTTCACTTCTCTGATGCGAGGATAAGAAGGCAACTTCAAGCATGAAGGAATTGTGTGTGCAACTATAGAGTAGCAACCAGAGTAACTATGGTTTCCGAGAAGAATGTCGTGCAACCGCAACAACATTTTGTTCCTTAAAGTGCATATTATCATGAACTATATCAATTCAAAAGAAAAAAAGCTATTAAAAAAAAAAAAAAAAAAAAAAAAACAATGTCATTTATTTATTCTTTCGAGTGCACATTTTTTGGCCTTCGAGTACATATTTTTCTATCTACGAGTGCACATTTACTTGCATTCGAAATTTGCCTTCTAGTGAACATTTTTGTGCTTTCTAATGATTCTTTTTCTTTTTTTTTTGCAAGTGTACATTTTCCTGTCTACAAGTGCATTTTTTCCTACTTAATGTGTATTTAATAATGAATTATATCATTTTAAAAGATAAAGTCTTTAAGAAATATAGTAAATACCTTTTAGTTTTAAGCTCGCACATTTTATGCCTTCGAGTGCACCATTTTGTTTCTTCAAGTGCACATTATCCTGTGAACTATATTAATTCAAAAGATAAACTGCTCAAAAAAAAATTTTAAAAACCAATGTCATTTGTTTATTGCTTTGAGTGCACATTTTTTTGTCTTTGAGTATATAGTTTTCTACCTACGAGTGCACATTTACTTGCCTTCGAAATGTGTCTTCTAGTGAACATTTTTATGCCTTCTAGTGATCCTCTTTTTCTTCAAGTGCATATTTTTCTGCCTACAAGTGCATTTTTCCCTACTCATCAATGTGTATTTAATAATGAACTATATCAATTTAAAAGCGAAAGTCTTTAAAAAAAAAAAAAAAAAAAAAAAAAAAAAAAAAAACAGTAAATGCCTCTTAGTTTTAGGCTCCGATATACATTTTTAGCCTTCGAATGCACCATTTTGTTTCTTCAAGTGCACATTATACTTAACTATATTAGTTCAAAAGAAAAATTGCTCAAAAAAAAAAATCAATGTCATTTATTTATTTCTTCGAGTGCACTTTTTTTGTCTTCGAGTATATATTTTTCTATCTACCATACGAGTGCACATTTACTTGCTTTCAGAATGTGCCTTCTAGTGAACATTTTTGTGTCTTCTAGTGCACAATTTCATGTTTACAAATGCATTTTTCCTACTCAATGTGTATATTTAATAATGAACTATATCAATTCAAATAGAAAGTCTTTAAGAAATAGTAAATTCGTCTTAGTTTTAGGCTCCCACTGCTCATTTTTAGCCTTTGAGTGCTCCATTTTGTTTTTTCAAATGCACATTATCCTGAACTATATCAATTCAAAAAAAAAAAAATTACTCAAAAAAGCTTTTTAAAAACCATCAATTTGTAATTGATACGCGAGATAACTGAAACTTGTTTGATCGAATGCTAAACAGAGATTTGAAAGGTAAACAGAGCTTTGAAAATGATGAACCAATGGTGAAGTCTTTGTTGAGTAGAATATGATTAACAAAAGCAGTTATGAAAAGTAAGGAAAAGACCATAAAGCACTTATTCGCATTTTAAAAATAAAACAAGCGCTACATCTAAACAGACCTTCCCGTGCGATCATGTCACCACCAGGTATACAAGAATGCATCACTACGTGCTCAAAAATATAATGCTCCAAGGTGTGGTACATTTGTACATTTCACCCTGATACGTTTCTGAACACATAGTATATTTATGCATACCTAATAGTACATGACCGCACGTTCCAAAATTATGCAGTTTTGTAGTGTATTTGTACATTTTCGCCCATATGCACAAGTGATCTACCTACTTAAAACATAATTTCTATACTGTGACCATAAAATTTCAAACATTCATCTTTTCTTCCGAATAATGCCTACTAACAATTTTAACTTCTTCGTGTCAATCTGGAACATGTGATTCCTTTTTGTCCAATGCTTTATGTCTTTCCTAAGCATAGTAGGAATAATTGCGTTCCAAAACGGATTACAAATTAAACATGTTTTTACAAAATAATTTAGCCAATTTAGTTTAAACATTTACCATCTTCCAGGCCACTTTGAATTTTTTGGCAAGAACTATTTTAAGCTCCCCCTAAATTTTAGAACAGTTGTTATATTATAGACCGCGGTGCATAATCGATTATGCACCGCGGTCCATATACGGCGCCGTTTCTTTAAGTAAAGAAACGGTCCGCCGTTAGAGTTAACGGAGTCCGTTTGTTTGGTGTATTAAACACCAACTGACACTACAGTATATCCAAACCGACACTGTAGTTATATCAAAATGATACTGTAGTTATAGTGAAATGAAACTGCAGTGTATATAAACTGAAACTGAATAACATTTCACATATTTGAGTGTATATTGTACAATGAAGCTGTAATTATATCAAAATGATCATGTAGTTGTGTTTTAATAAAACTATAGTGTATATAAAATAAAATTAAATAACATTTTCACATATTTGAGTCTATAAATATCGAATGAAACTATAGTTATATCGAATGAAACTATAGTTATATCGAAATGAAACTGTAGTTGTGTTCAACTGAAACAGCAGTGTATACAAAATGACACTGAATAACAGAGTTACTTTTTGCAAAAGGATGCGAAACGGCGGAAATAAACACGGTTAATTTTCATTTTTAAAAAAAAGACGCGCGGTGCATAATCGATTATGCACCGCGGTGCATAATATAATTTGCCATTTTAGAAATGCTCCCCCTAAATTTTAGAAATGCTCCCCCTAAATATATTAAGATAATAGAATAAGGGTCAAATAGGCCATCCAACTGCACAAGATAATACAATTAGGCCACTGAACCTAAAAAATCAACAATTGGGTCCCTAAACTAACAAATTTCAAACAAATCTTCCAATTTGTAGGTTTCCAACAGGTTAACAGGTCATCCTCCCAAATTAATTATTTTTTAAAAAATAAAATTTTAAAATTAATTATTTAAGTAATTAAAAAAAAATAGAAACGGCCGTGGAGACGAAGAAACTGGCCGGAGACGAAGAAGTTTCTTTGTCTCCGGCCATTTCTGTTTTTTTTTTTTTTTTTAATTTTAATAATTAATTTTTAAATTTTATTTTTTAAAAAATAATTAAGTTGGTTGTTGACCTGTTAGAAACCTTCAAATTAGATGAATTGTTAGGAATTGGTTAGTTTAGGGACTCAATTGTTGGTTTTTTGGGTTCAGTGGCCTAATTGTATTATCAGGTGCAGTTCGATGGCCTATTTGACCCTTATTCCTAAGATAATTAAAATAAATTTTACCACATAAATAACATATGAAAAAATCCCTTACGGGACATTTGGTTGGGATGAGAGAATTACGTGGAAAAGGAATTGCAATTCCATGGGAGATGAATTACTGGAATAAAGTGAGAATTTAAATTTCAGTGTTTGGTTTACAAGAATAAAATTACTGTGAATTTCAATTCCAATGCTTGGTATACATGGGAGTTGAAAGAGAATAAGTAGTATAAAGTCTAAAATGCCCATTATTGTTGTCAGACAGGCATCAATTTTAGGTTAAAAAGTGAATGGTAATTTTGTCTCATCATTATCTTTTTTCTTCCCAAGATCCATGGAATTAAAATCCTAAGGGGGAACATGGGATTTTAATTCCATGAAAATGATGGAATTGTAATTCCATGGAATTGCAATTCCTTCCAACCAAACTAAGGAATTTAGTGGTCTTTGGAATTATGTGGGAATTAAGTGTGAATGGAATTTAAATTCCCTCTAACCAAACGCCCTGTTAGAGTTTACAACCAATTTCTTTTAGGGGCTACCCATTGTCTGACCAAGTATTCTATGAAGGATTTCAACCATTCTTCAGCAAACTTTAATTTTATTCTTTCTTCAAAATTTTGTAGGCTTCATTATCTTAAATATTCTTCCAAGCACGTTCGATTTCATTCTTACAGTCCGATTGTTGAGGCTAAAGTGTTGGGAAGAAAACTCGCAAGAATATATAATTAGCACAATGAAAATAAATAAACGGCACCAAGAAGAACACCAAGAATTTTAACGTGGAAAAACCTCCTCAAGGCAAGGAGTAAAAAACTACGGGCACAAGCCAGTAAACCTTCCACTATATAGATAATGGGTACAACAGAGGAGGCTTCTCTAATTCAACGATTAGAGGCAACACAAAATACAAGAGAAAATAACATACCCCGAGGCACAAGAATTTCTACGAAATCCACCAACTTCTTCTCGGCTAATTTTCTCACACTTGTATATCTCAACAAATTTTCTCTCCTCTCTTTTTCTTCTTCTTGAACTCTCTCATATCCAAGGTAGCCAAATCTATGGCCTTTATATAGGCTTTACAAAGCCAACTCTTTTGTCTTTTCATTTGCCCACTTTAATCTCCCATTAAGTGGACATGAATGAAGCCATTAATCAAAAAACCTTTCACTTCATCTTCCAAGCTTAATTGTTAAGCTTTTGGTCACCACCCTACCCACATTGGTGGGACCATCTAGCAACAAACTCCCCCTCACGCCAATGTGGGAGGGACTTGCATTCCTGCAGCTGAACGACAGATCTCAAGCTTTTCCCTTGGTAATGACTTTGTTAACATGTCAGACCCATTTTCATCTGTATGGATCTTTACAAGTTGTAAGTGGTTCATCTCCGAAACATCTCGTATCCAGTGATATCTTACATCGATATGTTTCGATCTTGAATGGAAAGAGGAATTCTTACCAAGGTGTATAGCACTTTGAGTATCACAAAATAACTCATATTTGTCTTGTTTGATCCCAAGTTCTTGAAGAAATTTCTTCACCCATAGCAACTCTTTACAAGCTTCAGTTGCTGCAATAAACTCAGCCTCTGTGGTAGAAAGTGCAACACACTTTTGTAACTTAGACCCTGCCATGATACTGCTCCCTCTGCAAATGTTATCAGATACCCCGAAGTCGACTTTCTTGAGTCAATGTCACCTGCCATGTCTGCATCAGTGTATCCAACCAACATAGACTTACTAGAACCAAAACATAAGCATAATTTAGAAGTACCTCTAAGATATCTGAAAATCTATTTAACAGCCATCCAATGTTCCTTGCCAGGATTAGAAAGGAACCTACTGACAACGCCAACTGCATGAGCAATGTCTGGCCTTGTACATACCATAGCATACATTAAACTACCAACTGCTGAATTGTAAGGGACTTGTTGCATACTTGCCTTTTCTTCCTCTGTAGAAGGACTTTGCTTACTACTTAATTTAAAGTGATTAGCAAGAGGAGAACTAACCGCTTTAGCATTGTCCATGTTAAACCTGCAAAGTATTTTCTCAATGTACTTCTCCTGAGACAACCACAACTTTCTGGCATTCCTGTCTCGTGTAATTCTTATCCCAATAATCTGTTTTGCTGGCCCAAGTCTTTCATAGCAAAAGACTTGCTCAACTGTTCCTTTAGTTGATTAATTCTAGAAGCACTCTTGCCGAAGATCAACATATCATCAACGTACAACAGAAGCATAATAAAATCATCATCAGAGAATTTCTGAAAGAACACACAATGGTCAGAAGTAGTCTTCATGTAACCTTGTTGCGCCATAACTGACTCAAACTTCTTGTGCCATTGCCTTGGTGCCTGTTTTAAGCCGCTTTTTTTTAGCTTACAGACATAGTCCTCTTTTCCCTTGACTTCAAAACCCTCTGGCTGCTCCATGTATATTTCTTCATCTAAATCACCATGAAGAAAAGCAGTCTTTACATCCATTTGCTCAATTTCTAAATCTAGGCTGGCTGCTAGTCCAAGAACAACACGAATGGAAGACATCTTAACCACTGGAGAAAATATATCATCAAAGTCAATACCTTTTCTTTGGTTGAATCCCTTGACAACTAGTCTAGCTTTGTACCGTGGCCGTGAAGAGTGTTCTTCCTGCTTTACTCTGTACACCCACTTGTTTGTCAAACCTCTCTTACCTTTAGGTAGCTTTACTAACTCAAAGGTATTATTCTCATACAATGATTTCATCTCATCTTTCATGGCTTCAATCCACTTTTCCTTGTGTTCATCCTCCACAGCTTCTGCATAACATTCTGGTTCACCATTATCAACAAAATTAATTTCATAAATATCAGAAGAGTACCTTGTGGAAGGCTGTCTAACTCTTGAACTTCTTCGAAGCTGAGGTGGAGTTGAAGCTTCTGGAACTGGGAGTTCATCATCATTAATGGAAGCATCAGTAACATCTTGCTGCTCAATTTGGTCCTCCTCTCCAACCTCTTCAGGAACCACTGTTGGAGGTACTATCTCAGTATCAACTGAATCACCGTTATGAGATCCCAATTCTTTAACCCGGTCAATATCCTCTATGGTTTGATTCTCCACGAACACAGTATCTCGGCTTCCCACAAGCTTCTTTTCAACCGGATCATAAAATCTGTAGTCAAAGTCATCTAGACCATAGCCAATAAACACACACTGTTGTGTCTTAACATCAAGTTTTGATCTTTCATCTTTCGGAACGTGCACAAATGCTTTGCACCCGAAGACACGTAGATAATCACAGGAAACATCATTTCCTGTCCATACCCGATTTGGTATGTCAAACCTTAAAGGAGCACATGGTGAGAGATTCAATACATGCACAACAGTACTTAGTGCCTCAGCCCAGAATGTCTTTGGTAACTTTGCATGTGACAACAAACATCTAACTCTCTCAATCAAAGTCCTGTTCATCCTCTCAGCAACACCATTTAACTGAGGAGTCTTTGGTGGTGTTTTCTTATGGCGAATACCCTGCTCTACGCAATAGCTATTGAGTGGCCCAATATACTCTCCTCGATTATCTGACTTTATGCATTTTAGCTTCTTCCCAGTCTGTCTCTCAACTAGGGCATGAAATTGTTTGAATATGTCCACAACTTGACTTTTATGCCTCAAAGAATAAACCCATAATTTCCTTGAGCAGTTATCAATGAAGGTAACAAAATAGCGAGCACCACCAAGTGACCTAGTTTTGAAAGGTCCACCCACATCAGAGTGTATCAGTTCCAATACCTCTGGTTTCTTCTTAGTCTCAGCAGAACTTTTAAAGGATACTCTATTCTGCTTCCCTGCTAGACAATGAGCACACCTCTTCAAATGAACATTGTTCAACCCAGCTAAGCTCTTTTTTCTGACCAGCATGGACATCCTCTCCTCAGATATATGTGCAAGCCTCTTATGCCATATATCATTCATATCATCGTTCTCAACCGTATTGACAATATTTCCTGAGATCTTGGCCTGTAAAACATAAAGTGTAGAACACTTTGTGCCTCGAGCCACAACTAGAGAACCTCTTGTGAGTTTCCATTGGCCATTTTGGAAAGTATTACAATACCCTTCATCATCTAATTTTCCAGCAGAAATTAAATTATACCTGATATCTGGAACATGCTTCACATTTTTCAGAAGCAACTTGGTGCCATTGTTGGTTTCTAACTGAACATCGCCAACACCAACAATCTTTGCATTACCATCATTGCCCATTTTCACAACTCCAAAATCACCTGTTGCATAACTAACAAAAAAATCATTTCGAGCTGTAGCATGAATGGATGCACCACTATCAATTACCCAGTTTGTATCATGACTTGCCAAATTAATGGCATCTGTGTCACCATCATAGAAGATAAGAAAATCATGTTCAACTGTACACTACAAGAAAAATCGCGAATCGCGACGGAAAAATTCCGTCGCGAATGGGCAAAATTCCGTCGCGAATCGTGTTTAGCGACGGAATTTATTCCGTCGTCTATCGCCTTGTCGTATTTCAATAGACGACGGAATAGTTCCGTCGCAAAAGTTGGCAACGGAATTCGCGACGGAAAAGTTCCGTCGCCATTTTGCAACGGAATTTTTCCGTCGCAATTCGATCGCAATTTTCGTAACAAAAATGTTTCCGACGCTAATTCCATCGCTATTTCTGACTCAAATATTCCGTCGCGATATTATCTTTTCCGTCGCAAAATTAACAATAGAATTGTTTTCCGTCGCGTTTTTTTTTGAATTCTTCTTTTAAGAATTTATTTATCATTATTATTTTTAATGGTAATATGAACTATTAAAATATTAATATAAAACTGCAATGACATACTAAAACACAATTAATTATAAAAAATAATATAATTAAGTTTAAGTAATAATACATTATCAATCAGTGAGTAATAATAATCAATTGAAGTCTAAACAATAATATAATAGTCTTCACAAATGACAATCTACACTAAAATCAATTGGTTTGGGACGGAGGTGATGCTGAAATGCCAACTCTCCCGCCATCAATCCACATTTGTTTCTCCTCAACACCCGTCAATCTCCAATAACGACAAACAGAGATAATAATTGCCTCACATGTCACATACTGGGAAGCTGACATGTTTAAAAGAAAATGAGATTAAAAAAAAGCGCTTAAAAAAATGTCAGAAGTTAGAGTAAACTCATTACCCTTCATCCATAAAGTCCAATTGATCTATCTGTTTAGCCTCTTGTTCCTCCTCACCCACAAGAACAACAGTCTCCCCCTACAAGAAGCAACATCTATAAAAAATAATAATAATAATAATAATAATAATAATAATAATAATAATAATAATAATAATAAATAACATCATCCATCTATACATATATAAATAATAATAATGATAATAATAATAATAATAATAATAATAATAATAATAATAATAATAATAATAATAATAATAATAATAATAATAAAACAAAATAATTAAATCTCTCTAATTTTTTAATAATGTGAACATGGTAGGCATGGCAGTTTTGAGGTGCCAACCAAAACTCTAGGGATCATTCATTCTCAATAGTCAATACTATCTGGAGATTTCTTGTGAGCTCCAACAGCATTCCAACAAAGGGAAGTAAATAAAGATTAAACACCAAAGCAGTGCACTTGTAAACATCTATAATGCCTTGCAAAGCAAGGGGACTCAAGACCAAACCACTTGAACTGCTGAAACACACTAAAAAGCTGTTAAGTATTCCTATAAAATGTTAGCCTCCCAACTCCCAAGACAAGGCTAGTTAATCACTAAACATTTGTTTTAGAAGCAATTCAGATCCAACAAATCCCATAATCAACTTTAACTCAAATGATTAGCTTCTATATTCAACTTGAATCTCCAGATTTCAAGTTTAATCAAATAACTAGCTGCCATAGTAAAGGCTCACATTAGTTCAGTAGTACTACATCAACTAACAGAACTACAACATGGCGACGGGTAAATGCTTGCGACGACACACCACTGAGTTCAACAAACTTTAAACCCAGATTCAACTAAACTTCAAATAACATGACATAGTGGGCAACCATGATTGTTTTTGGGTACATTAGCTACTACAATTATCTATGAAGGAGAAATGCATGCTCAGCAATAAATATACACCAAAAAAATTCCGCTGAAGACCACGAAAATTAGAGTAGCACATCACACATCCTGATATCCACATAAATGAACAAGGACTGCATAGTAGAGAACGTTTAATTCAATTCCAATTTCCAAATTCAAAGCAAGGACAAGAATAACACTACAAATCAGCCAATCAGAAAAACAATAGTTATCAATAGAGACTATGATTAACCAAGATTTCTTGTTTATTTCAACCAAGTTGGGAGGAATTCATCAAAATTAAAATTCTATCTTTATCAAATTAAACCATTTCTAAAAGCACACTATTTTTCATACCCAGAAAAAAAAAATGCTAGGAGATTCTGATAGGCATGATCATCAGTTGCACCTAACATACCCACATACTTTCTAAGCAGAATGTGATAAGAAATAATCTAATAAAAACTATAAAAATGATAATTATAAGAAATAATTTTAACTATAACCTGAAATAGGATTAGAATTGTGTCAATGAAATAGGATTGTAAAAACTATAAAAATTAACAAATCTAATCTAATATTTATTAAAATGATAATTATAAGAAATAATTTTAACCAAAAAAAAAAATACCTGTAGCGGCACGACTTCAGTTCGGCGGACCAGCAGCGGCGCCGGTGGAAGTCGCAGAAGCAGCGGCGGTGGAAGTCGCAGAAGCAGCGGCAGCGGCTGAGGAGAACTGTGCCGGTGGAGACGGCGGTGGCGGCGTTGTGAGTGGATGATCTGTGGTAAGGGCCGGAGATGAGGCGTTACATTTTGAGAGCGAGATCGAGGCTGAGGTGAGGGCGATAGCGGAGAGGCGGTGTCAGCGGTGTGGTGGGGGATGAGGGAGGCGGTGTCGACGGCGGAGGTCTGGTGAGGGCTTACGATGGCGATGAAGTGTGGTGAGGGCGGATCTGTTGTGAGGGGGATGAGGCGCAGGGAGATCGATCTGATGGCGGAGGGTTTTCTTTTTGGGAGGGAGATGAGGCGCAGAGTTGTAGCGTTGGCAACTGGATGAGTAGGGTTTGAAGTGTTCAATATTCATAATTATTAAGAAAAAATAAAATGATGCCCGTTTTGAAATAAAAATAAAAATAAAAAAATTGCGACGGAATAAATTCCATCGTTAATTCCGTCGCAATATTTGTTCCTTTATCAAAAAATTCCTTTCTTTCACAACGGAATAAAATCCGTCGTAATTTTTATCGCTATTTTGCGATGGAACGTGAACCCGTCGCCTTTCCGTCGCTAAATATACGACGTAACTTACATCCGTCGCAAATTCTATCGTAAATATTTTATCGTCAAGATTTCGCGGGTTTTATTTTCTCTTTGCGCCAAAAGTTGCGACGGAATTAATTTCCGTCGCGAATTCCGTAGTTAATTTGCAACGGAAACTATTCCGTCGCAATTCCGTAGCTATATTGCGACGGAATAGTTTCCGTCGCGATTTTCCGTCGCAATTCGCGATTTTTCTTGTAGTGGTAGCAGCTACACTATCATCATCACTACCATTATTCTTTTCAGAGTCTTTATTTTTCTGATTTTCTTTCTTCCGTAGTCGGTAAAATTTCTTAATATGCCCCTTTTTGTGACAATGATAACATTCAACATTAGCAAATTTATTAGATTTACCTCTACTGTTATCTCTGTTTTTATCTTTACTCCTTGGACCCTTGCTTTGACTTCTCCCCCTATTTGTTGTAGCCAAGACCTCTGAATGTTGAGAGGAGGTACCTTGTGACCTTCGTCTCATCTCTTCATTCAGGACACCACTTTTAACAAGTTCTATCGTTACAACACCGTTAGGAGCAGAATTAGTCAAAGAAATCTTTAAAGTCTCCCAAGAATCTGGCAATGATGCTAATACCATAAGAGCAAGAACCTCATCATCAAATTTAACTCTCATACCTGACAATTGATCAACAATCCCTTGAAATTCATTCAAGTGATCCGCAACAGAACTACCCTTGTTATATCTCAATTGCACCAATTTTGTGAGATAAAACAATTTGTTGTTGCCAGTCTTTGAAGCATATAAATCTTCAAGTTTACTCCACAGTGTCCTTGCGTGGGTTTCACTACAAATATGATTATACACATTATCTTCAACAAATTGCCAAATAAAACCACATACCTGTTCATGCTCAAAGGCCCACTCTTCATCTGATTTATTTTCAGGTTTCTGGGTAGCAAACACGGGTTAAATGCAACTTCATCACATATAGTAGATCTTTTATCTTATTTCTCCATATGTGATAATTTGTGCCATTCAAACTTGTAATTCTATTGAACTTTCCTTCCATAGCTTCGCACTTGAACAAGGCTCTGATACCAGTTGTTGGGAAGAAAGCTCACCAGAATATATAATTAGCACAATGAAAATAAATAAACGGCACCAAGAAGAACACCAAGAATTTTAACGTGGAAAAACCTCCTCAAGGCAAGGAGTAAAAAACCACAGGCACAAGCCAGTAAATCTTCCACTATATAGATAATGGGTACAACAGAGGAGGCTTCTCTAATTCAACGATTAGAGGCAACACAAAATACAAGAGAAAATAACATACCCCGAGGCACAAGAATTTCTACAAAATCCACCAACTTCTTCTCGGCTAATTTTCTCACACTTGTATATCTCAACAAATTTTCTCTCCTCTCTTTTTCTTCTTCTTGAACTCTCTCATATCCAAGGTAGCCAAATCCATGGCCTTTATATAGGCTTTACAAAGCCAACTCTTTTGTCTTTTCATTTGCCCACTTTAATCTCCCATTAAGTGGACATGAATGAAGCCATTAATCAAAAAACCTTTCACTTCATCTTCCAAGCTTAATTGTTAAGCTTTTGGTCACCACCCTACCCACATTGGTGGGACCATCTAGCAACATAAACGACAAGGCTACCAGTGTGCAATATTTATTGCGTGGACCGTGGTTCACACAACAGTGTGGACTACAGTTCAAAAACGACGTCGTTTTGATTAATTTTATTTTTTTGTACGCCCAGATGTAATATACGTTTTATAACTCATAATGTACATTATTCTAAAGTATAATGTAGATTATTTTAAAACATCATGTACATTGTGTTACCCCATATAATGTTTCATTATTCTAACACATAATGTATACGATGATGTTTTGAATTGTGGTCCACACAGCTGTGTGAACAGTGATTTGCCACAAGTGTGTATAAGCCGGTAGCAATTTGAGTTTTTTTTTTTTTACTGACTCAATTACATTGTAGTATTTGTTCATTTATATTTTCTCAACCTGTTGAAACACAAAGAGTCAACAACACCTCAACTAAGGCTCGATCTTATAATTTTTTATATGGGAAAATTACTATATCTCATTTAAGTACAAGGTGCTTGGCAGTAGCAAGTTGAGTTATGACTTAGAGTGCCGTGTAAAATATGATTTTAATTAATACTGTAATGCTGCTAGAACACTCTCGCTAAGACTTATAAAATTTGGACTCTCTCAAAGTGCAATAATATAATTCTAGAATAGTCATTTAGCTAGCTGAATTCTAGAATAGTCATTTAGCTAGCTAGCTGAACAAGCTAGATATATTTCACTTATTTCTACGTCTCTTTAATCTCATTTATTAAACAAGTACTTAATATGGAACCACCACATAAAAATTATAGACAAATCTAGACTCTCCATTTAGATTATGTATGTGGCTATGATATTTATTTTTATTTTTTAATTTCAGTAATTTGCTCTCTAGCTTAGCTTTCTTCCTGTAGAGTCCTTTCTCCATTTTTCTTTGGAGATTTTCTTCTCCTACCTTTCTTTTATTCAACCATGAACTCAATTCATTTTTGCATTTTTTTTAATGCTCGAGTATATTATATTGTTTATATTTGTAATTGACCTAGATGTGATTTTCACGAGCAATTTATTAATGTGCATTGTGATCTTCGTAGCTGTGCATTTACACTGTTGTTCCCTGTTGCTAGGTTTTCATCATGTGTGCACCTCACCATGACCTAGTGTACACTTTGTGTTCATGTGATCGATCTGTGAGTGAATTGTAAACTTAGCGTTTGCGCATTATAGTACATATGCGTACGCATTTGCTTATAGTGGTGCATAATTTGTATGTGTGCATTTCAATGTGAACATGTGCACATTGCAATTTTAATTTAGAGTTTGCACAACGTAATGTATGACCGTGTTGAGTATATGCACAGGATTCTGGCGACATTCTACCGTGCACACGATGTTGTGTATGAGTGCACATAGTCACCTGGAACATATCACAACACCACGTATTTGGACATTAACAAAACAATCAAACTTTCATATATTTAATTTAATAATAATAATAACAATAACTTATATTATTGAAATGGAAGGATTTAATATCATAGAAACTCCTATTTTATGTTCACTTAACTATTTGAATGGTAGTTTAGAATTTTTCTAGGACTAATTTGCTCTTTAATTGATATTTATGAGAATTGAATTGTTGATTATGCGCATGAGTTTAGAATGTTGATGTTTAATCATAGCCATTGATAACTTATTTTCTATGACTAAGATTTGTCCTTAGTTTTTATGTGGGAGGGTGCACTACCAGAAGAAAAAAAATCCTTTTAACATCAGTTATTTTTGGCATACGACTTCAGTTATTATTCGACGTAGTTTTGCTTGACGTAATAAATAAATGATATGATATCAGAAAACCGACGTCGTAAAGATATATTAAATAAAAAAAATATCACGTCAGTTATTAAATAAATCGATGTGATATCTTATTTTAAAAATAATAATAAAAATACATGACATCGGGTTTTAGAAGAACTGACACCATATCCATTTTAATTTTTTAATAATTATATACCACGTCGATTTTTATTAAAAATCGACATAGTATGACTTTGTTTAGTTTTTTTAAATTTAAATTACAAACCACGTCATTAAAAACCGACGTGGTATGTATTTTATAAAAAAAATAAAACAAAATTGATACGCCGTTCGTTTTTCATTGAAACTGATGCCGTATCAATTTTTAAAAATTTTTTAAAACTATATACCATGTCAGTTTTTTTAACATGAGACACATGATAATTAAGGATAATGAATATATTAGTGATTGTATATGGCATTTGTATGTTCTTCTTAAACTTCACTCATATGATCAATTGAGCCCGCCTATGCGGGATTGTATAAGGTGGTCATATGGAACGTAGCATTAGAGTACATTTGATGGATATTATCATATTAAACAATTCCAATGTCTTCTATAAGTGGCCAACAAATACTCAAGCTTTTAATTGGATACGGCGCTTTGTGGTATGGGATGTGGCATTAGAGTTTACTTTTGATTTAATGAATATTCACAAATCCAATTGTCTTCTAGCGGTGCCCACTGAAATTTTCAATTGAATAAAGGGTTTGTGGTTAGATGGAATGAGATGTAGTCAAGTTTAAAGCAATTGGCTGAAGACTCACGATCGAGTCAAAACTCAATGTTCTACAGATCAGATTCCCAAGAAACACTAATGGCCCGTTTGGTTCACGGAATAGGCTGGGAATGGCATAGCATTCCCAGTAATAGGCCTATTCCTTTGTTTGGTAACCATTTCTATTATCAGGAATAGTATTCCTGGTAATAGCCTATTACCTCAAATAAGGTAATAGTTATTACTAGGGCCCCCTGGTACAGGAATAGATTTTAGAATCTATTTTCTTTTTTACCCCTTTCTTTAACCTAATTTTTTAATTCTATATATAAATTTATCATATTTCACCACCGTTGTTTCCACCACCACCACCACTACCACCGTCGCCGCCACCACCACCACTACCACCGTCGCCGCCCCCACCACCACTGCCACAACCATCACCGTCACCACCACCACCGTCGCCCCCACCACTGCCACCACCACCACCACCGCCCCAGCACCACCACCACCATCACCACCACCGCCATCACCATCGCTACCACTACCACCGCCACCGCCACCGCCACCATCGCCACCACATATTTTTATAAGGGTATTTATGTCTTTTAAAACATATTTCATTTCTATTCCTTAAATCAACCAAACACTGTAATATAATTCCTAAAGTCTATTCCTTCCGCGAACCAAACAATAGAATACAATTCCTATTCTATTCCTTGCCTATTCCATTCCTTATGGAATAGCATTCTTATTACCTCAAAATTCATTCCGTGAACCAAACGTGCTGTAAAGTCTTCCATGCATTAACGTATGGCATTTAATAATTCGTGTTGTTTATTCGATTATTGTTGCGTTCAATGAATTAACTTATTTACGAATAATTAGATGACACAGTTTTCTTTAAAAAAAAAAAAAAAAAAAAAAAAAAAAAAAAAAAAAACACTCTGTGTGTGTGACAATTAATATCATGGACCAGGATCTACAAAGCATTATAGACCTTGGACTGAAATGATGATGTATAAAATTCATACTCGTAAGGTATATAATTGTATAATACAAAATACAAAAAATCACAACACAATTCAAAATACATACACATGTCATGTATTTACTTATTTTTCAAATCTAATTTAAGTCCATAATTTGTGTTCATAGCAATGTGTATGTATTTTGAATTGTGTTGTGATTTTTTGAATTCCTAAAGTAAATGCAAGTCTCTTGATGTCTGCTCCGCCTTTCAGTTCCTATTCTCACTGATATCTCTCTTAAATTTTTTATTTGATTTCTTTATGGCTTGTTCTCTACTTTGCACTTTTGTTGTTTGCCGCAATTGTTCTTTACCTCACAATTATATCTAACTTGAATTATTCTTACAATATTCAATATTTTCCTTAGTTTTATGTTATGTGCTTTAAAATCATTCTAATTTTGATTTCTAGTACACTTAAATTATTTTCTAGTATTGGAATATATTTCCAGTGCACTGGCAATGACGAATTGTGTCCAAAAATTAACTATACAGTACTTGACACTTGTTCTTCAAATATTAACTATACAGATAGATGATTATTCATCTTGTCAATAAAATATTTCAAGTGAGTCAACTAAAGAGTCGGTTATACAAAAAAGTCAACTGATTTTTGATAATTAATACTTAGTAGTGTGTTTGAACTTTGGATTTGGATTATGTGATTATGTGAATATGTATTATTTGGTTGTATGTTCAAAAAATTTGGAAATGTTGAAATTTGAGGATCTTAAACTGAACCGAAACCAAGCCGAACTTTAATGTTAAATCGAATAGTTTAATTTTTAAAAAACTGAAAATCCAAAATCGAAAAAAAAAAAAAAAATGAACCCGAAGCCCGAAATGCCCGTCCCTAAAAACTATAAGATGGATCAAGTGATGAATGTAGTCTTTCCCGACCCACTCCCAACCAATTGTCATCCCTAGCTAAGTAGTGATGGCAATGGGTCGGGGTGGGTCGGGGATGGCTACATTCATCACCCGACCCACCTTATATTTTCTCCACTCACTCCCACCTTCAATCCGCATCGGGTGGACTTTTTCAAAATCCACCCCCACCACATCGGGTGCGGGTGCCCACTACGTGTACCCACCACTTATCATCTTATTATTTTTTTAAAAAATAATATTTAAATTACTTACACATAATAAAATAATTAAATTCGTTAGTGATACTAAAACATAAAATAATAGAAATATTTAAATATAATAACTAAATTGTTAATTTTTAAAAATGAACTTAGTAGTTTAGATATAAAAATTGTAAAAAGATACGCGAAGTTATATAAACTTTTATAAATAACTACATACTAATACTTATTTTACTATTATATATATATATATATATATATATATATATATATATATATATATATATATAGGGAAGGGTTCATGTGCGGGTATAGCTTCCCGTGCAGTTGTGGGGTTAGATCTGAGCCGTTGATCAAATTTAGATCAACGGCTCAAATCAATAAAAATTAAAAAAAAAAAAAAAAACGCGTGTCTGGAAGAAAGAAGCATAAGCTAAAAATGATGCACCTTAAGTGATAGAAACACGCACCTTAAGTATTAGATCTTAAGCACAAACTCACACACATTAAGTACAAAACCCACAGACATTAAGCACAACCTCACGCACATTAAGCACAAAAACCACGCACTTTAAATATTAACTCACAAACTTTAAGTTTCAACAACTACTGACATTAAGCACAAACTCACGCACATTAAGTACAAAACCCACGCACATTAAGCATAACCTCACACACATTAAGCACAAAACTCACGCACTTTAATTATTAACTCACAGACTTTAAGTTTTAACAACTACTCACATTAAGCATAACCCCACGCACATTAAGCACAAACCTCACGCACCTTACGCACAAACCTCACGCATCTCATATACAAAACTCACGCATATTAATCACAGATCCGCTCACCTTAATTTTGACCTAGATGCAAAAATTACAAAATTGCCACCGTGTTCTTTTTAAAAAAAATTTGGTAATCCTGGACGTTGATTTAAGCGAGATGAATGGCCGAGATTAAACCGCACAACCGCACCTGGGCACCTTAACCGCACCAGAATCTAATTCTATATATATATATATATATATATATATATATATATATATAGACACATGGTGGGTCGGGTGTGGTTCTAGGCGGATTTTAATATAGAACCCGAATCCAACCCGACCTACCGTAGATTTACTTTTTTAAGGCATACCGGGGACCCACCACCCACCATCATCCAAAAAAATCAATCCATGCTAGGTAGATTCGGATGGATATCCACAAGGCGAATTGAAATTGTCATCCCTATAGCTAATAATAGATGCTCAATAATCAAGACTCCGTGTTCAAACTTGAAAGCAACGACGCCATGCCTCAATTAATATGGACAATTAATTGAGGAAAATTAACAATTAATATGGACAATTAAGAATAACAAATAGGTGGTCATGCCTCAATTAATATGGACAACTAACAATAATAAATAGTTGGCAAAAATCAATTGAATTTATTCATCCTGCCATATCACTTCTCATCAATACCATACCCTTGCTTGCTCTCAATTTGCATATCATCATGTTGAAGCTAAGTTTATCATTCTCTTCTCTGCTTTTATTATTACTCTACTCCATAATTGTTTGCTCCGGCATGAACATTACTACTGATGAATCCTCTCTTCTTGCTTTGAAATCAAGCATTAACATCAACTCTCATCATACCATAATGGCCAACTGGTCTAATGCTTCCTCTGTGTGTGAGTGGAAGGGAGTTACATGTGGCCGTCGTAATCGACGAGTGATTGCTTTAGACATCTCTCAAATGGGGCTTTCTGGAACCATTCCCCCACAATTTGGAAACCTCTCATTTCTTGTTTCCTTGAATGCGAGTGGCAATAATTTCATTGGGAATCTGCCTGATGAATTAACTCATTTACGTCGATTGAGAGTCTTTGATGTTAGTACCAACAATCTCACTGGAGAAATCCCTTCACAGTTTGGACTCTTGTCCAATCTTCAAATATTGATTCTTGATCACAACCTCTTCACCGGAACTATCCCTGTTTCTTTTCTAAACTTGTCAAAGCTAGAAACCATGCACTTGGGTTTTAATAAATTCAATGGCTCTATCACATCTACAATCTTCAATGTTTCCACCTTGAAAAGTATAAGAATCTTAAACAATCATTTCTCTGGTATCATTCCCTTAGATTTGTGTCTTCGACTTATAAATCTGATAAGACTCGACGTAACCAGTAATGTTTTAAGTGGGGAAGTGCCAAAGAGTTTATCCATGTGTTCCAAAGTAAGATATTTGGGATTGAATTATAACGGCTTTGTGGGAACAATACCACCAGAACTTGGGAATTTAACAAGTCTTAAAATCCTTCGTCTTGGAGGTAACAACCTTGAAGGTACGACATAATCCTTAATTCTTTGCTTACGTAATTGCTATTTCCTTTGAGAGTTTCATATATTGTTGATTGAATATAATGGTTCACAGAGGTTAGCATATTCCTACTAGCTAGTTATATCTTTATTGAACCAAAGTGTCTCATTATTTTTATTATTTTGTGATATAAAATATCTGTTGTTTCAAAGAAATTTACAAAAAAATGGAACGGTATATTAAATTCTAAGCAAATATACACATAAGGAACAAATAGATTATATGTCAATGGTCTATATTTATTAATTTCTAAAATCAGAATTATTAAGTCAAAATAAAACAATAAACAAAAATTGTGAAATAATATATAATTTTAATTACTTGTTAAGAGAATTGAAAAATCAGTTATTTGTTGAGTTGCGTTTGTCGTCTGCTGTTTGCGTCAATCGTGTGCTGCCTACTGAGATTTGCGTCAATTTTATTTTTTTGAAAATAATATTGGCTGGAATGACATAATAAATTAATAATAATCTTCTTCTTCCTAGTTGAACCCCAACCCTAAGGGCCCCCCTCAACTGAACATGAATCGCTTGGCTGGAATGACATAATAAATTAATAATAATCTTCTTTTTCTTAGTTGAACCCCAACCCTAAGGGCCCCCCTCAACTGAACATGGCTGGAATGACATAATAAATTAATAATAATCTTCTTCTTCCTAGTTGAACCCCAACCCTAAGGGCCCCCCTCAACAGACTTCTTCTTCCTAGTTGAACCCCAACCCTAAGGGCCCCCCTCAACTGAACATGAATCGCTCACTGCGCACAAGGAGCCCCCCTCACTGCCGCTAGTGAGACTCGATCTCTGATCATTCTTCCAATGTTTCACCTCTATGACCAGTTGAGCTACCCATGCGGGCAATAAATTAATAATCTTGAAAGTTGAACATGTAGTGTAGATGGTGTAGTGCTGATGTGTTGTTCAATGCCGGTCGCCAATTAGGCTTGCGGAGTTGCGTTGATCAATTGGTCTCTGTTGATTAGGCTTACGCAACAATAAAAATCACTAGCTAAGCTGGTCGATTAGGATAATAGGGTTTGAATCCTGAAATTTCAAGACTAGGCTGATCGAACGAATTACGAATATATCACTCTGTATACTTTTTTTTTTTTTTTTTTTAATATGGAACCCCCAAAAATTAGGAGTCCTGTGCAAAGGTTCTAGGCAGACTTGCCCAGGGCCCACCCTGGTAAACGACAAGACTAGTAATGTATATATTTAGAATGAGTTATAAGTCTTATAACTTCGAATGCCATATAAGATCATATTTTTACACTATTACATTGTAAAAATATTGTAGGTAATAGGTTTTTTTTTACGCTCTCAAGTTGCAATATAATTCTAGAATAGCACTTTAGCTAGTTGAACAAGATATATTGCAGCCTTCAGTTCTACTTATCCTCAATCCTTTTATTAAACAAGTGCTCTAATACCCAACCGTGTTGATGAAATTCAATTTCTTTTTATTATGAAGATTAAAAAAATGTTTCTACCAAAATCTAAAAATTGATATAATAATTTCTTCTTTCACAGGAAGAATTCCTAAAGAAATTGGTTGTCTACATGACTTGGAGCAATTAGAAATTGAAAACAATCACTTAACGGGCTTACTACCACCACATATGTTTAACATGTCTTCACTTCAAATGTTGAACTTGAACACCAACAAGATATCAGGTAATTAGCTATTGAATACTAGCATTTTGCTCTTTTATTGGATAATTGGACTTTTCATTCCCAATGTATTTTATATATGAACCAAACGTCATGTTAGAATTTTGTTCTCCATTCTTCAAAATCTTCTTGAGAATAATTAGGAATAAGATCCATACTTTTATGCATTTAAAAAAGTTTTAAGCTACAAAGGAAAATATTGTTCTGAAAAGATTACGCGCTATGTTCCGTGTGACCAAGTCAATTGATCTTTTAGAACAACCAATACCACTTAGCTTGTTGGTCTAGGCCTTAGGAAAAGTGAAAAGTTTAAAGGGCGCGAGGTTGAATAGACTTTTAAAAAAAAACTTTTGAAACTTGTATAAGATTGTGAGTTTTGTAGCGGAAGTCTTAAACTTGGCTAAGTTTTTTTTATAGGTAGATTTAATTTGAATGAGTGAGTGTTGTGTGCGTAGTATGGATCGTTAGATAGATAAAAAGAGCATAAAATAAAAAAGGGTGAAAGTTTTATAGTGTTCAGGAAATTCCTTACTCTACTCTTCTCCTTCACACAATGTGGGATTTCACTATGTATTGTAAGAGCAAATAAAAGTGAATGAAGTTTAATTTGTCACCACACAATGCTACTTGCTTCCTCCAATGACAATCCTTGAATGTAAGTCACAAGCTCCTCATCAACCTAATCTTCATTGTCTTATCAATCTTCAAAGGGTCAGTTACCAAGTCACCTTACTCAGATGATCTTCCAACACCGTACCTTTCAAAAAAAAAAAAGAGATGGTTTTGATTTGACGTTGGACTATTAGTATAGATCATATGATCGGATTCTTTTGGCTTAGAGCACTAAATATCGCTTGAAAACTTTTGAATCTCTCTTATAATCTTATGATTGAACTAGTAAGATCAACTATACACGTTGGACAAATATATACCTTCACTCTATGTTGGACTTACACCTTCGCATAGTGCATATGCATGTTCTCTAGCTAGTACCAAAACAAATGACAATCATATTTCACTGTGATCTATTTTCAATTGACTAGTTAAGATGTGTAGGGGCAATGAGTCTTACATGTAGGTTTTTTCATTTCTTTTTTTGAAATTTCAAAATGGACAATATGAACAGTGATTTGCAGTATATCATATTACAGTGAATGATTTAGATAAAAGGTTTCATCTTTAGTAGTTTCTTCAATATATTAATATGTTTACATACATATGTATTAATGAAGAATTTTTATTTTTTTTCGTGTATGATTTGGTAGGTATACTACCTCGAGAGATGAGCAATCTTGAAAAGTTGAAGTACCTTTTTTTACAATTCAACTCTCTTAGTGGTTCCATACTGTGGGATATATTCAATATCTCTAGCCTAATTGAACTAGATCTTGGGTTCAATTTTCTTTCAGGTAGCCTTCCCCCTAAAATGGGCTATAAGCTTCAAAATATCATAAAAATTAGCCTCAATCTTAATAACCTTAGTGGACATGTTCCAAGCTATATCTCCAATTGTTCTAAACTAGAAGGCTTATTCCTCGAAATGAACAGTTTTAGTGGCCCAATTCCTAACTCTTTGGGAGAATTAAAATTTTTGGAAGAATTGACGATATTCGTTAACAGGTTGACAGGCGAATCCTCTTCAACAGGGGTCAATTTTTTGACTTCATTGGCAAATTGTAAATACTTGAGAAAACTAGGGATAGCTGTTAATCCTCTAAATATTGTCCTACCAAGTTCCTTTGGTAATCTCTCCAATTCCCTTGAGCTCTTTGTTGCATTTGGTTGTAATTTAAAGGGCAAAATTCCAAACGAAGTTGGTAATTTAAGTAGTCTCATGCAACTAGACTTATCCCAAAATGAATTGACGGGAGTTGTTCCTAGAGCAATAAGAGGTCTAAACCAACTTCAAATGTTGAACCTTGGAAACAATAAACTAAGTGGGTGTTTGCCGAATAGCATTTGTAATTTGAAATACTTGGACAGTTTGAATTTAAGTAAAAATCATATTTGGGGTTCTATTCCTGAGTGCATGGGGAATGCTACTTTTTTAAGAGAGATCTATCTACCCTTTAACAGATTGAGTTTTAACATACCATCAAGCCTCTGGAAGCTTAAGGACCTCTTGAAACTTGATTTGTCTTCAAATTTCTTGAATGGCTCTTTACATCCAGAGATTGGAAACATAAAAGCTGCAATATACATCAATCTATCAAGGAATCATTTTTCTGGCTATATTCCAACTACCATTGGAGGTTTGCAAAGTTTGATAAACTTTTCCTTAGCTAATAATCTTCTACAAGGATCTATCCCTGATTCTTTTGGAAGCATGATTAGTTTGGAATACTTGGATTTGTCAAATAACAATCTGACAGGAGGGATTCCTAGGTCCTTAGAGAAGCTCCACTATCTCAAAGGTTTTAATGTATCTTTCAATAGGTTAAGTGGAGAAATCCCCAGCAAAGGCCAATTTGTAAATTTCACTTATCAATCTTTTCTGTCCAATGAAGATTTGTGTGGTTCTCCAAGGCTAAAAGTGCCACTTTGCAATGTGCATTCTAATTCGCATCCATTCATAAGGAGAGCACTTCGGATTGTATTCATCTTTATGGCTATGTTAATAGTGGGAATCTCGGTGATTATACTTTTATTATGGAAATGCAAAAGTAAAAATTCCACTGCGGCCAATGAGGTTAACTTTTTACAAGAAATAGTGCCATTGAGAATTTCATACTATGAACTTCAAAGAGCAACTCAAGGGTTTAGTAGTAATAACTTGCTAGGGGCCGGAAGCTTCGGTTCTGTTTACAAGGGCACTTTTGAAAATGGGTTACTCTTTGCCGTCAAGGTCTTTAATTTGCAAGTTGAAGATGCATTTAAGAGTTTTGCTACTGAATGTGAAGTTTTACGCAATCTTCGTCACAGAAATCTCACGAAGGTGATAAGTGCTTGCTCTAATATTGATTTTAAAGCACTCATACTTGAGTACATGCCTAATGGTAGTTTAGACAACTGGTTGTACTCTGACAGGCAATCTTTGCAAATCATGCAAAGATTAAACATAATGATCGATGTGGCATGTGCAATAGATTATTTGCACCATGGTTACTCAAGTCCAATTGCTCATTGTGATTTAAAGCCAACCAATGTTTTAATAGATGAAGATATGATGGGACATGTAAGTGACTTTGGCCTTGCGAAGTTACTTGGAGACGATGAATCAGTTGCTTATACCATAACCATGGCCACAATTGGATACATTGCTCCATGTGATGATTAGCGTACTATATATTTTATTTTTGTTTATTTCTTTTTAAGTGTCTTGCATAATTTTTATTTTTTCTCAAATGGAAAATAATAATTATAAATTTGACTTGTATTTGTATATCTATGTTAGAGTATGGATCAAGTGGTATGGTCTCCACGAAATGTGATATTTATAGTTACGGCATAATGTTGATGGAAGTGTTTACCAAGAGGAAGCCAAATGATGAAATGTTCACGGGGGACCTTAGTCTAAGGAGTTGGGTTTCTAATTCACTTTCTCATACTCTTGAAGAAATTGTGGACCCAACTTTAGTGAGACCCGAAGAATTGAAATGTAGACAAAAATTACAATGCATATCATCTATTTTGGAGTTGGCTTTGAGTTGCACAACCGAGTTTCCTAAGGAGAGGATGGATATTCAAGTTGTCCTGACAAAACTAAACAAGATCAAACGTGAATGTCTCACAATTTTCTAAAATCTGCGGTATGCTACTCACATTTGTTAAATTAAGTGCTTTCAATGTATATGGACTAATAGTGTTAGTTTATGTTTGCAGGTTGGAGGGGGTGAAAGAAATATTTTGGGCATAGTTGTGGCCCCTCACATGAGAGGTCTCAGGTTTGAACCTCATGTGGGGCGTTGACTCTTTTGTTTGAGTAGGTTAAGAAAACATGGTTTAGATTTGACCAACTGTGCACTTCACTTACACAGTTCGTGTTGCACCGTTGGCGAAATCCAACTCAAATAACATGATGGACTCATTTGATCACTAGTATATATATATATATATATATATATATATATATATATATATATATTTACAATATATCCCCATATATATATAATTACCAAATTCTAAGTCTCTAACCCTCTACTTGCAAAGTTCCATTCTAAATTATGATTGAACTATAAACATTACTGCTAATATAATCTTGTTATATAAGTGCTCTTATTGTTTAATTCTTTTATTAATTGTATAATATTTAGTGAAATGTCACAACTTAATTATGTGAGTTGATTGTTAATTATTTATGAGATTATATAGGAAATAAACAATAATATAATTGGATTTATTTCTAAATAAGTTAACGAGCATGCTGAAGTCGTGACTTATATTATTTTATATTTTAATGGTATTATGTTTGCATTGTGGTGATATACTTATATGTAATCATGTATTAGTTTTGTATTAGATATATTTCTTAAATTATTTAGATATACTTACTAAAGTTTTAAAAAAGTTTAACAGATAGGATTTAAATAGGCTCAAAGTAGGACCTACTTTGAAACTTTTTTAATGGCCTAAATATTAAACAGATTTTTAAAAAGATTTCAGGCAAAACCAGGTCAATTGTAGGCTCAGCCTTGAGCCTAACAAAAAGATTACATACAGGCTAAGGTCCAGTCCTAAACTTTAGATTTTCGTAACATAGAAGGTCATAGGTTTGAGGCTCTTTGTACTTCACTAGATTAAAAAAGTAATTATAAACCGATACTAGTATACTACATTATAATCACTAGTACTCCCAAAAAAAAAAAAAAAAAAAAAAGCAAAAGCTAACATATAACCACGTTTTACCCAAAAACGACTGAATTCTTCGAGGGGCAAACGGAGTTTGGTGCTTTTATCAGTAAAATCGTCCAAAATCCCTATCGCTCAGTTCCTTTATCGCCATTGCCACAATCCCCTCCCCACCCTACACCTTCGCCACTTCGCCCTTTGTCCCCTTCACTCACTCACGCAGTAGCCATCCGGCGGCCCAGTACCTGCAGCGACGTAGCAGACTCCAGCCAGCGCCAGCAGGGACGCCGGCGACGACTCACGCCCCTCAACGTCTGGTTAGTAAGCCCCTCTGAATTTGTAATTTGTTTTATTGAAAAAGTTATGAAGATTTATTAGGCTGTCTGTGAATTTGTTTTGCAACTTTGATTCAAGAACTCTGTAAGTATTCATGCAATTAGGCTGTTACTGTCTGCATTGTGTTCCCTTAAGCAACCAACAATGAACAAAAATTGATAATTAATCAAATTTTTGTACCTAATTTCCATTTCCTCTACTTCAATTCATTTTTGATTCAGTTGATACCCTTTGTCAGTCTCATTACCTGAGTATCTCTTTTGAATGTTCACTATTTTTTATTTTTTATTTTTTTCACTTTTCTGATGCTTGCAAGTTGTTTGGGTGCATAAATTTCAATATTTATCATGTAATGAATTCTCATTTCTTATTTCATTCAATTTAATTATGTAAGTAACATTCAGTTATGTCAGAAAGTTTGAAGGTTTGGATCCCCTGTCCTCGTTGGAGTTTTTGTGGGGATGGGGAATCCCACCCCCAGGTAATCCTGTAGATGTGGCCATGTCGGGATGGGATTATATTTCCCCTAAACCCGGGGACAGGGGTTGGGTTGGCTTGATTGCTTTCACCTGGTCTAGCAAGAGTCGATTAGCTCAAGTTGTGTAGGGTCTGGGGCAGGGACATATTCCTTTCCTGTTGCCATCCCTATTAAGCTATCACCAAGTGGCCCAGAGTCCCAAATTCCAATTCCTCTCCGCCTTTGCTGCTCCATTTTGCAGAATTGCAGAGGCTTCGGCATACCAAAACGGCGTCCAAGCTGAAGCTCTCATTGATACCATTTTTTCTTCAAATCCTTTTGGTATGCACAAATTTGCTTTTCTTCTTGTGCATTGGGAATAGAAATTTAGCAGTTATGGAGCATAAATTCTTGCTGTTTGTAATAGTGTTTTGTTCTTGTGAACGTGTAAGATTAAAATCCTAGCAAAATATCAAACCATGTACACCTTCAAACATGATATTAGTTGGTACAAGAAAGAGTTTTAGGCCAAAGTTTGAAGGGGATAAATGTGAATTAATCTGAAGAAGACTTATTGAAAATTGCAGAAGCAAGATAAGCATTCAGAGCTGCTTGACCACGGTAGTGCTCATTCAATCTATACCCATCACTGAAACCCAAGAGTTCGTTAACCAAGGGTGAAGAAGGATGTTGTTTCAGGTGGGTGGGCAAGGGACTCGTCCCACCTTCTTCGAGATGGCTGCTGCTCAGCAGCTCCCTTCTAGTCTACGAGCTGCACTCAGTTACTCTCTCGGCGTACGCTTTCTCTTCTTCACCCAAATTAGGGTTTTTAGTTTCTAGTTTCCCACCATTTTAAATTTTTAATGAGTTTACTTATAGGTTTTGGCTATGAGAAGATCCTTCCTCCACAAAATTCTCGATTTTGAGGATGAATTCTTTGCTTTGCTTATGCTTGTTCTTGAAACACACAGTTTGCGGACCTCTGGTAATGCAAATTCACATATGCTTGTTCAATTTGTTGTTTTATGAATTTGTTTGTTTAGTTTAGTTTATAATTTGCATTTGGATTCCATAAGATGCATCATTTGCGGAGTCATTGTATGGGTTGAGGAGGAGGGCCCTTAAGATAAGAGTTAAGAATGATAATAAACGTGTTTTGGAGTCCAATGAGGAAATTCATCACTCGGGTTTGGAGAAGCGCCAAAAGATTCTCTCCGTTGCATTTCTGGTAAAGAAACTTCCTTTATTTTTTTATTAGTTTTATTAATACTCTTTTTTTTTTTCATTTAAATGTCACGTTGCATTGAAATTTTGCTGATTATTAACAATTAATGAAAAATAGGTTATGAGACCAAGTAATTCATGTTGAAGTGATAATCTGGTGAAACTGCTTAGATTATTTTCTCACAAGTTCTGCAGGTATTGATATGAACTAATGCCTTTCTGTAGGTGATATTGCCATACCTTAGGTCAAAACTGCATGCTATATTCAATAAAGAAAGAGAGGTAGCACTTCAAGCTAGTTTATGGGGTGAAGGTGATGAGAGGTTCAACGCTGACTATCTTGATTCTGGCGCAAATTCCATTGTTTCCACAAGTAGCTCTGATACAGAAGGATCAGCAAGAGAACGGTTGAAAAAGAGAATTCAGAAGGTCATGGCTGCTTGCTACCCATGGATACATGCTGGAAATGAAGGTCTAGGAAGCTCAACATTTGAACTTATAAATATTTTAGGATTCCAGTGTGCTTTCTTTTTTCATTTATTTATAGTAAAATTAAGGTCCTGACCTAACTTCTTCCCCAGGGTTATCATTTTCTTATCAGTTGTTATATCTACTGGATGCTACTGGGTTCTACTCTTTTGGACTGCACGCATTGGGTATTCATGTTTGTCGAGCTACAGGGCAGGAGTTGGTATGTCATTGCAAGCAATTTCTTATTTACGACCTTTCACACAGTATGGAGTAATTGTCTTTAGCTTCGATCAGAGTCTACTTATACATAGTGTCCAAACTATGATTTGTAACACACTAACACCAATCTCCACCTTTAGTTTATTAACATTTTTGTTTTAGTTATCCTTAGTTGTGAAAAGCTTTTACCTTTGTATCTTGTGTATATTACTGTTTCATTTTAAGATTTGTTGTGTTCTTTTGTCAAGGTAGATGGATACTTCTTCTAGAATTTCTAAGATAAGAAAGCATGAACGGGAGAGACTGCGCGGTCCCCCTTGGCTAAAGGTATGCATTGAATTCTTTTCTGTTATTATTATTATTGTTGTTGTTGTTGTTGTTGTTATTATTATTATTATACCTTTATCATTTTTAAATAACATCTCTGTTTTTATTGCTGGATTTATTGTTGTTGTTGTTGTTATTGATATTTGCTTTTCTATTGGAAGATATTATTTTGCCTCAACCTGCCCCATTTGGATTTCCTAATTTCGTGTAGTTTTGCACACCTTCTATTTGTTTGGAGTGTGATGGGTTGTTAATCAATTGTGCAAAATATTGACCCTATTGCTCAAGCCATGTTGTGACAATGATATCTGGGCTACACTTTGGTTCTTTCGCTGATTCATTTATAATTGATACATTCTTGCATGAAATCTAGTTTCTTGTGCTCTTATCTCTTAAAATTTATCATTGCAATGACAATTCTCTAAAGCAAAACAACCTGACATACGTCAACATTACAGAAAGTACAAGGTGGATTGCTTAGCTGTGCATACGCTGTTCTTGACTATGCTCAAACTGGTCTAATTGCTGCAGTATTTTTCTTTAAAGTAAGTTTAATTTACTTTTAGTTACAGTTTTGACTTTCAGCATTGATATAAATGAACTCCTTGTCATTATCATGTTACTTCCCTTGATGTCTGCTGCTAGGTACTGTTTTCTTTGGACCATGTGACAAAAGAAGTTTTATGCTTTTGAACTCCTTGAACATTGAAATGGCTGAAACTGTATATACCAGAAAAATTAAAACTAAGTTACTAACCCTCTGATTTGGAAATAAAAGTTCCTCTTGTTTGCTGTAGACAAGCCACTTCATTTATAGCTTTTGGACATCATATTATATTATTATATTTCACGTATCAGAATTTTACTTGCTTTATTTGTTATAGTTTCAAGTGATGTTATCTCCCTTTCTTATCTAAATTACACTATGCGTGTCTTTTTTTTACCTACAAATTCAATTTTCTGTTTTCTGTTTGCAAATACTTAGATGATGGAATGGTGGTATCAATCAGCTGAAGAGCGTATGTCAGCCCCAACCATTTATCCTCCTCCTCTTCCACCACCAGCCCCAAAGGTGAGCAGATTTGAGTTGTTATCTGGCGTGCTGTTTATGCCAGTGAGCTAGTGAGTTATAACATTTTGAGCACATTCAGTGATTTTCTTTATCAATTAATTGTTGAGGATAAAGGTGCTCTTTTTTTTGGGTTTCTGGAAAAGGTGTCAAATAAATCTTCTAAGTCAAGCGAATAGTACAATTGAGCCCCTTAAAACTCCATTGGATGCCCTTAATCGGTAAATAGTGTTATTGAGTCAAAATGCTATTTTTCCAGTACTCCAGTATGTTATTGTTGATTTGGCGTTGACTAAACTTTCACGTGTATCCTTTCAAAAAAACTTTCACGTGTACTTTTTTAAATGTGGCTATGATCTGGCTTTACACATAAGATGAATTGGACAACCTTAAGCTTTCATATGGACTTTTATTGAGATAAAGTGATGGACTGTCTGTACAGTATTTATTGGGGCTAGCCATGGATTGTTTTGGTCTACTGATACCATATGAGAACAAAAATTTGTAGAGAGTTTTATTATTAATCAATCGTATCTAAAAAGTACATGAGGGATGTATTTATTAGAGATAGTAGGATTACAATAATATTCAGAGTCCTAATAAATATTGGCTGTCTAGAAAAGCATAGAAGATAGCTATGGCTGTCTTAAATAAATTTTAATATTATTTGGACAGTCATGGCTGTCATGAAGATTGGATTTGGACCTCATTTTTTTTAAAGACAACCATGGTTGTCAGTCAAGAAACAAGTTATAGATCTAGACCTTTGAGACGAAGGCATGCTTGCCTTCTTCTTGAGGGTTTAGATCTGGATCTTATTTCTTGACAGCCATGGCTGTCGTTTTATTTATTAAAAAAAAAAAAAAAAAAAAAAGAGGTCCATGGCCTATCACCTTTGTGATAGCCATGATTGTCTTAAAAATAAAATTATTTTATTTTAATTTTATTTTTAAGACAGTCATGGCTATCACGAATGACCGCCATGGTTGTCTTCTATGCTTTTCTAGAGTCTTAACAATTGAGACAGTTGGTAGCAATGTAGCATCAAAAGACCAGGTATTAGCTACATCAGTGTTAACATACATAGCAATTTGGACTCGGTTGTTTGTACTTTGTACTTTCTTGCCGGTCCTCGATGGTGCTTTTTTGGTTAGGGGCTCTATTGTATGCTATTCGCTTGAAGTTGGAGGCTTATTTAACATTTTTTTTCCTCTAGTAATGGATGTGTAAATTATATAGCTAGATTGGTAAATTAACAGCTCTCTGCTGTTATGGCCATAGGAAATCTCAAAATTTGAAATACTTGTAGGCAAGACATAATGTCTTTGCCATGCTATGATTTCATTTTCTCATAACTATACAGTGAATGGTGGTGGTAAAATACTAAAATCTCCACCAACCAGCTGTTGAATTAAAGATAAAGTTCGTAGGCAGTATTTGAGGGGAAAGACCAAGGTTCGAAACTCGGCAGTGGCAGTGTGGGGATTATGCCAAAAGTGGGCAGATCCCTTGTGCGCACTAGCATTTGGCCTTGTCTGCTGAGCCACTGAGTTACCGTGATTTACATCCTCCCAATACTCTGTCGGGCTGGAGTGTGGGGGCCCTTGGGGTTGGGAATTCAACCTTTTGGGGGAAGAATTAAAGATCAAGTTTAGGCTGATTATATTTATTCCTTCTTAGTTTGTATATGAGTTGGTTTACTACTCTTCAACAGGTTGCAAAAGATGGAATTCCTTTGCCTCCAGACCGAACACTCTGCCCCCTGTGTTCACAAAAACGAGCCAATCCCTCGGTAGTGTCTGTTTCAGGATTTGTGTTCTGTTATTCCTGCATATTTAAATACGTCTCTCAGGTAAATTTATGGTTGTTATTATTTTTATTTTTGAGAGATGGGAGATTAGTTTAAAGTAATGTTTTCAGTGTGGTTTTAACTTAAATTTGTGTTTTACTTGGCTACAGTACAAGCGTTGCCCTGTAACACTGATGCCTGCAACAGTGGATCAGATCAGAAGACTTTTTCATGATGTTTGAAAGTTGTGGAGTATGCCAATTACTTAGCCCAACTCTATACTTCAAGAAAGATAATAATAATAAGAAAATTCTCTTTTTAGGATTTTGTTTCTTGAATCTTGACAATATATTAATGATTGTCTATGTGGTAAATTTGGATTTAAGAACTGAATTAAATTGATTGGTACACAAACACATACAAAGAGGCTGAAAGGAAAATTGTTGTATTTTGAGAGGAGAAAAGAAATAACAAAAAATGGAGCCTCAAATTTGAGGGCATTCTTGTCAAAACACAAATTCACGGTAGGACATTTTTCGTCCTTAGTTGTGGGGAATTGTAATGTTTGTCGACCATGTTCACTTTTTGTCTCTAAGTTTTTACTGATGTTTTAATTTTCGTTTTTGACATACAGTTTATACTAGGACATGAACTTGAGAAAGCAAAAATGATAACTAAAATAGAACTCATCAAACTAAAGGGTGGAATACATCACTCATTTTCTAGACTTAATCCACATATACATAATAACTAACTAATGTTCCCAACTTGGCTATAATAGACTGATCATAGAGACTGGCTCAAAGAATGCCGTTGAATGCCTCAAAAGGAACAAAACAATGCATGTCGAAGGGAGCTAAGTCGATGCAACGAAGCAGAAGTCAAACACATATATTCACCGGGAACAAAACTACGTTGCTGATAAGATGGCAAGACTCTCTTACGAACTTTCGAGCAAAATCTTAAAGTTTCCACAACCTCCACCTAGCGTAATGATGAGCTTGAGAGATGACCAAGAAGGTATTCCACGCATAATGGGCATGGAGGAAAGCTAATAGATTCTCATGCATACTTGGGGTGTCCCCTGGATGTAAAAAAAAAAATACTAAGGCTATCCTTATCCCAGCAAATTTCTCACTTTTTAAAATAGGTCACACTTCCACCTCATCAAATTTTCAAATTATCTAGTATTTATTCTACATCCTTGCAATATTCTCTCACTTTCTAAAATGATCTCACTTTTATATTATATTATAAATATAATAATAAAATAATATAATAAGAAAGCTTGCTAGACACATGGTACGAAAATTAAAACAAAAAAAAAAATAAAATGCCACTTCAATGGCTATGTTATCTTGCAAGTGCTAACATTTTTGGGATGAGGATAGTCTTATAAGTTAATAAAAATAACGATATTCAACAAGCCCGTGTGAAATTGGTAAGAATTCAAGTATTTTGATTATTAATATGTTAAACAAACAGTAATAAACAACAAGGCCGTCTAGCTCAGTTGGTAGAGCGCAAGGCTCTTAACCTTGTGGTCGTGGGTTCTCGAGCCCCACGGTGGGCGTTTTGTGCTTTTTCCTTCCAACCGATTCCCCCAAAACTAAGCCCTCCACCGATGACTGATTTATCGCTCACCATAATATGTACACTAATACACGTACGTGTGTATTTCAAATTCATCACTATTTCTCACTAAGCATTTTTTGAAGTTGTTTTCTTTATTTTTTTATTTTTTTTTGGGCTACTCAAGAAGAAAAAATTCAATTAAAAATATCATTTTGATCAAAGTAAAGAATGTCTATTTTGATAAAAGGTATTTTTCATGATTCCTTTTGTCTTAACGTTAGAGCTGTTAAAATGGACCAAACTCGTGGGATTAAAACCCTTTAGTATGATTTTTAAGTGGGGTTGGTTGGATAAATTTTCAACCCGACCTTACTACCCATACTTGTTTAGCATGTGAGGTTACATAGGTTGGTTCATTTAATCTGATTTTTAGGAAGTCTGGGTTAGATAAATTTTCAACCAGCCTGTATAAGTCGTCATTCGAAGTTTATCCAAATATATTTCTAGTTTAATTGGTCAAATTTTATCTTGGACTAGGGTCCACTTTAAATTGTGGACCATGGTTCAAAACGACATTTAGATCGATGAGAATCTACGAACTACTGCATAAATGCACACAATTTACTCCATGAATACACATAATTTAATACTTCAGGTGCACAATGCACACAATCTACTCTAGGAGCAGATTGTGTGCATTCGTGTAATAAATTATGTGCATCCATGCAGGTTCGCAAGTCCAAATGAGAACATGATCTTTTTATAAAAAGTGAGGACTAATCTTAGTCATCCATCAGGATTCATTATAGTTGAGGGTTTTAGTAAAAAAACACGGGGTCAGTGTTACAATTATTGCAAACTTGAAAATTTAGTAATTGTGAGATATCCCAGCCTTTGATTTCTCAAGATGGAGAGTGTGGATGTGTCTACACTTTTTACCGAGAGAGATGTTCTCACATGAACCCTCCCCTATATAGCACGCAATCTCATATTTTAGTGCATAATGCACACAAACTACCCTTGTAATAATTTTTATGCATTTATGTGGATGCTTATGTGCACCTATGTTCGTTCGCAGGTTCTCATTTGAGCGTTAATATATATATATATATATATATATATATATATATATATATATATATATATATTAATAGAAATAAACAAAGAATAAAAAGTTGATTTGACCAATAGAATAAGTTGTACATATATTAAAATATTTCCTTTTATATAATATAAGATAAGATAGTAATATACTAATATATTATATATGTTGTAACGTGTTTAAAGTTGAATTGCATGTCCATTTTGGGAGTGAATTGGGACAGACAGATACCGAAGCATACTCATCAAATTACCATAAACGGACAGCTCTGTAGTTCTACAAAGTAGGCAAGAGAGAGAGAGAGAGAGAGAGAGAGAGAGAGGATGGAGGTACGAATAAGAGCACCAGCAAAAATCATACTGGCCGGAGAACATGCGGTGGTGCACGGATCCACCGCCGTGGCGGCTGCCATTGATCTTTATACCTATGTCTCTCTGAGCTTCCTTTCTCCCTCCGGTAACCAGTAATACATCGCAACACATCTCCTAAAATGTGTAACTTTGAACTCTGTAGTGTTTACGATTGAATTCAATTCTCAGAGATTGATTTTTTTTAATAAATTAATTTTCTGCTTCTTCATTGTTGCTACTTCATTATTAGGTCACCCTAAATTGAATCTTAATTAGTTGTATTTGGGAATTTAACTGAATTATTTTCATTCTTATTTTATTAAGCATGACTTTGGAAAGGTTTGAATTCGAGCTTCATTTTCTTGTTGATGAACAAACTTTCATTTTCGAACATCTTCATTACTTTTAAAAAGGATGAACCACTTGTTCGGTTGTTCTTGTTTCAAAATTTGCACCATTTGACATTGCTTCATGTGATTAGTTTGCGTTAGGGTTGACCAATCTACATGTGACTAATGAATATGAAGGGTTATAAGACTTCTCACAAGTCATGCAAACTAATGCAAGTTTTGGATGCAAATAACATTTTTCTTTTAGAAGTGGAAACATAAAGCCAATTGCTCTTTGTTGTTGATTAAGATTAGAGTGAATTTCATAAATTAAAGGTTATGGAATTGCAATGCTCTTAGTATTATTATCAAATACTAATAGGATTTTTGGCTACTTTTATTAAAAAAAATTCATTTTCATGATACATAATTGAAGAATCTGAGTCTTTTCATTCTACTTATTGCATTGGATGCTTTGGGACCAGAAAATGATCAAACACTGAAACTCCAACTTAAGGATGTGTCCTTAGAATTTTCTTGGCCAGTTGCAAGAATTAAAGATGCTTTTCCAAATCTTGATAGTAGTGTTGCTTCCTCTCCTTCATCGTGCTCATTGGAGACACATAAATCAATTGCTTCTTTGGTGGAAAAACAGAAAATTCTTGAGGCCAATATTGGACTTGCATCTGGTGTCTCGGCTTTTCTCTGGCTGTATACCTCTATTCTTGGGTGTGTAACTTTGCCTGCCTTGTGAACCTTGTTGTTCTCATTGTTTAGCAAAGTCATTTATGATATCTGAATCTTGTTCTTCCTTATTTGCAATATCAGATGCAAACCAGCAAAAGCAGTTGTTCATTCTGAACTCCCTTTGGGAGCAGGTCTGGGATCATCTGCTGCCCTCTGTGTTGCACTCTCAGCTGCCATGCTCTCTTTATCAGATTCTATTAGTATAGATTTCAGCCAACGAGGCTGGCAAATATTTAGAGACAGTGATCTAGAGTTGGTAAACAAGTGGGCTTTTGAGGGTGAAAAGATAATCCATGGGAAGCCATCAGGGGTTGACAATACAGTAAGCACATATGGTAAGTGATTGCAACTATTCTGGTGAATAAATTAGTTATTCTTTTTCTCATTGATGCAATGTTTTCCCTAATGAGTACAAAATGCTTCAACTTTAGGATCATAGTACCTATGCAACTAATGGATTTCATGTGAACAGGGAACTTGATCAAATTTAAGTCTGGTGATTTGACACGCCTCAAGACTAACATGCCAATCAAAATGCTGATCACTAATACAAGAGTTGGCAGAAATACAAAGGCATTAGTTGCTGGTGTCTCAGAGAAGACAATGAGGCATCCAAGTGCTATGGTTTCAGTGTTTAATGCTATAGATTCCATAAGCAATGAATTAGCTACCATTATCCAGTCACCTGTTGCAGATGATCTTGCAATAACTGAGAATGAAGAAAAAATGGGAGAGTTGATGGAGATGAACCAAGGATTGCTACAGTGCATGGGTGTAAGTCATTCTTCAATAGAAACTGTGCTTCGAACAACAGCAAAGTACAAATTATACTCCAAATTAATTGGAGCTGGTGGTGGAGGTTGCGTTTTGACCCTGCTTCCAACTTGTATCCTTTCTATTATCTGCTCATACATGCCATGCGTGCCTTTCCTTTTACTCTAAACACTTTATTGGTTTCTTTGCAATTCCAACTTGTTTCTTCCCCTTAATGACATTCTTTGGATCTGAATTTGTTTGTATTGCATAGCATTTTTGCTTGTGTATATATCTTTATCATGTAGATTGACCAGGGGGCTAGTACTATATCGTTAACAAAATGTTAGTTTTAACTCCTATTAAATATTTGCTTCCATCTCAAAAGCTTTCACTGTTTTAATAGTTATGTTCTTTTAAATCTGTTTTTTTATCTTTGTTTTATTTTAGGACTCAAAAGGGTAGAAATCAATGACAAACAAAGTGCTGTTAAATTTGAATATGAAACTTCACCCTAGATGTCCATGCATCATTGTAATAATATTTGAATGAAATCCCCCAAATGCATCTTCCATGTTATTTGATCCTATATAGTAAATCGAGGAAGTCCATCAGAATATAGTATATTGTTTCCCTGACAAGATTCAGTGCTATCTGGGACAGTTATAAGTAAGGTGATAGCCGAGTTAGAGACATGTGGGTTCCAGTGTCTAATTGCCGGAATTAGGGGAAAAGGCGTTGAGGTTTCTTTCGCTAGATCTTCGTGATCATACATATGCAGATCGACACTTCAATATATCTTACGGCTCAAGATTTGGTACGCAACTGCATCTAGTCTAGAATCTAGAATAATATATGTGGTGTTACTATAGTTTCTCCATGCTTTCTTGACTTTAGCTCCAGTTTGTATTTTTTTCCCCCAAATATTCAATTCTTCAATTTGAAACCACCAAATCAATTTATCTAATAATGTTTAATAAAGAAATTTGTTTTCTTATCATATCCATTCTTTCACGCTGGTTTGGTCTTAAGATTGCATTAATATTATTTTCTTCTTATTTTGGGTTGTAATTGGTTGAATCTCAGATTGTTACGAAATGCATACTGATTTTGCTATTTTACTAGATTTAGAATTTCACTCAGTGGATTAGTGAGTTGGTGAAGAATTGAAATAGTAGATGGCAGAGAAAATGACTAGAAGCAGAGGTGAAGCTAAGATATATTAAAGCGGGGGTGGGGTTTGGGTGATATGTTTAGCGTTGAATGGCTAGCCTGCGCGCAAGAGAGTTCATTAGTTCAAACTCACATTTTTTTAATATGGAGCAAAGACTCATTCCTCCATTTTTCTAACTTCATCAGTTTCATTACTTCTATATGCCACTTTCGTTCATACTTTTGTAGAATAACAGTTGTGTCTAGTAACTTTTTTCTAGATTTTGTGCTACATTACTTCTAAAATACATTTTTCTTAAACTTTACGGTGCAATAAGAGGGGTTTTTATTTTTTATTTTTTAAGTACAGCTGCTTCCATTGAGGATTTGAGGTAGTTGATTGGTCATACAGAAGACATTCTCATCTTTCTTATATTTGTATGGAATTCAAGTAGTTGATTCTTCTGAAAGGTTCTATCTTACTAGTCTTTGATCACTTTTAATCTCTTATGATGTTTTAGCTTTTTTGGTGATAAAACCCTTCTGCATTGTTCTGCCTTCTATTAAAACATTTATTCTATCAAATCACCTATTTTGCTGTGAACATCTTCTATTAGATAGTTTCTTTTTACAAGAAACCTTTTATGTTAGACTATTTCTTTTGGAAGTAAACCTCTTTTGTTTGCTAACATCTTCCAAACATATTTGTTTTTTTGTTTACTAACATCTTCCAAAAGTGAATTTATTCAGAGAGTAAACATCTTTTATTTTTCACAAGTCTTCTACTATATGAGACTATTGTTTTATATCAAAAAATATGAGACTATTGTTTAATTGAGGTCTTTTATTGACATCACTCTTGCCAAGAGAAGTCTTATTTCTTTCTTTGCTAAATCTTCTACCATTGCAGATTTAAATGAAATAGAAATGGTATAACTATAAATAAGTAGAACTTCGAATGACCGCTTTACACTTTTACAGTTACTTTTATGCGCTTTTAGAGTTTCTATTGTGCTCTTTTAGAGATTTTGAAGTGCACTTTTAGCATTAATATTATGCACTTTAAAATTTTTTGTAATGCACTTTTACAATTTCAAATTTTCCCTTTTATAGTTTCTTCTATACACTTTTAGAGTTTCTGTTATGCACATTTAGATATTATATTGTGTACTTTTAATGTTTATACTTTGCACTTTTAGATTTTGTATTTTGCACTTTCAGTGGTTATACTCTACAGGTTTAGATATCATATTGTGCAAAACACTTTGTACTTTTAAATTTTGTATTGTGCACTTTTAGTGATTATAGTATTATACTATGCACCTTAAGAGGTTATATTTACGCACTTTTAGATATCATATTGTGCACTTTTAGTACTTATACTTTGTACTTCTAGATTTGTGTTTATACTGTACGCTTTTAGATTTTGTATTGTGTACTTTTAGAGTTTTAGCGTTCATATTCTACACTTTTAGATTTCATATTGCGCTTTTTAAGTGTTTATACTTTTAAAGTTTTTCTCTTGTACTTGTAGATATCATATTGTGCAACCTCTTTTTAAGAAAACAAAAGAGAGGATCACCTAAAAGCAAAACAAAACAATTTTCCTGTCCCTCGAAAATGATCATGTAAAAATAGTTGTTCATATAAGAAATGAGGATAAATCTAGTCATCCATCTCAAAATAATGCATGCATTGCATCGGGATGAGATCTATACTTAATTTTTTTTTTTTTTTTAAATGTGATGACTATTTTGTTAATTTGTAAAACTTTTATTGCATAATTGAAGATAAAAATAATACGGAGTATCATTTTGAAAAGAAAAAAAAAAAACATAAACTGTTTTGAAGAAAAACATCATTTTTTGCAGAAACCAGTTAAAGTACATATGAATTCAAATGAAAGATGCAAACATTTTTGTAAAGTATAGAAGCTTTACTTTACATCATTTTGGAAAAAAATTGCATATTTTTGAAAAAAAACATCATTGAAGAGAAAAATCTGCACTGTTTTAAATTAAATACACATGATGAATACCTAGATACACATTGTTTTGGGAAAATTATGCATATTTTTATACGTATTTTTTAGAATAAATATTTATGGTATAAACATGGATTTTTGTTTTTAATTTTTGGGTTAGACTGGACTGTCAAGTGGCGTACCTGAAGTTGGGTAGTTCTTCACCCAACCATTCTTATGTTGGCTGTGTCCTTAAGGATTGCAATACTTTAAAACGACATTTTGATTTTATGTCGTTTCATTATGTCCCTGGATTAGAAAACAAGTTTGCTCATACTTTGGCTAGAGCAATGTTGTCTCAGAGATCAAAAATACCATTTTTTCAAAGATTTATATTTGACTCAAAGTTCTAATCATGTATATGTATATTTTAAACTTAGGGATTTTACTTTGTATAAATCGACCAGCACTATATCATACATTATATTTATATGCTAATAATGTCAAATATATATCTCTTCACTAAGCACTAAAACATCAACTTTGAGCAAGTGATAATACCTAGCACGTAGCATGTATACAAGAGCGAGAATACGATGATGAGAAAACAAATTAAAGTTACTACTTTTAAGAAAGATTTGAATTCATGTTTACTTGAAGAGATATGTAACTTAATTACCAATAAGTGACACCTTAAACTCCATTTGGAAACATCATTGACAAAACTCTAGCTTGAACACTAAATAGATGGATTTTGTAAACAAACAAACAAACAAACAAATAATTGAAAAATGTAGTGCCTAAAATAAAATTCATGGGATCAAATTATTGGTGATATTAATTGTAATTCTATGAGTCACCTTTTGCCGCAGCATTTGAAGATCAACACTTGTCTCTTGACTACCCTGCAAGAACATAATATAAATTGTAAAAGCTTGAAGAAGCACAACAAGAATCTACAACTTGAATGATTTTATTAAAAAAAAAAAAAAAAAAAAGAAGAAGTACATATTAAGGCATGCGCATTATATTATGACTATGTTTGGTACACCTGCTAGCTAAAAAACTAGTTAAAAGTTGAAAGGTGAAAAGTTAGTAGCTAATAAGCTAACTAATTGAAATTAAAATGTTTTTGGTAAATTTAGTTGTTGAATAAGTTGATAACTGTAAAAGACATAAAAGGATAAATTGATATATTAGAATTTTGATTAATGAATGGTAGGTTGTGGCATTTTTATAAGTTAATAAGGATTAAAAAAAAAAAAATTTAAAAGTCAATAGCGTATTATTTTAAACTCTTCATGTTTAACCAAACAAAGCTTATAACTTATTTGTAATTTAAAATAGAGTTAATTCCAGCAGAGATCGCCTTTTGTCTTTGCTGGCAATTCCAAATTTAGTTTCAGACTATCATTTTTGTCCTTTAATATTCCGAATTATCATATTGTGAACACTTATAATTCTACTGATGACATTTCCCGTGAAACCCTATTTTAGGCAATACATTTTCGTCTCAACAATTTTTATTTTATTTTTTTCATCTTCAACCATGGATTGCACCTCCTTCATCCAACTCTTGTCTTCATCTCCTTCACCCGAAAAGCAGTCACAGAATCAAATAGAAACAATAGTCATTGGTTGCATACTTCTTACAAGCAGAAGTACGTGCTTCCTAATAAAAGAACTAACAACTCAATTGGATAGTCCTTTGCATAAATTACAAATACAAATCAATAATTAAAATTTCACCAAAGCAACGAACAAAAATATGAATGTTTTTTAACCAGACCATACACAGATACCTTAATGGCACTTCCTAGTAGTGATCAACCTCTATTTACAAAAATTTGTCTATAAAAATAAACAAAAAAAATTGCCACAAAAAAAAGGTTAATTTTACTTTCAGGTCCAAAGTTAGAGTTTGTTCTGCAATTGTTACCCCTCACCCTTTGATTGAATCAATTTCGTAGTAAAATTCAAGACAAAACTTAATCAGACTGACTATCGAGAGAGCAAGTATTGAAGAATTAAACCGTGCAAGTAAATTAAAGCATATATATACAAACATATATACTTTGGCAACATAGTCGAGGTAAGCAAACTTGAATGTGATGCCGAGGCAACGGAAGAGAAGGGAGACAAGTGAACTGGCGTGAGAGAATGTGTTGGGACCGGGTGAAGGAGATGATGTAGATGAAGACAAGAGCGAGTGAAGGAGGTGCAATCCACGACTGAAGATGAAAACCGGAAAAAAAAAAAAAAGGAAAAAAAAAATGAAGAGACAAAAATAATGTTATTGTCTAAAATAGGGTTTCACCTGAAAAAATCATTGAAAGGACAAAGTATTCAAAATATGATAGTCTGAAATGTTAAATGGAAAAAATAATAGTTTAAGACTAACTTTAGAATTGTCACCAAAGATAATGAACATCCGCTTAAATTAACTTTTTTAAAATAAGTTTTATCAAATAGAGCCTGTATTGTACCTCAGCTTGGATGGAATAGAGAAGGTTTCCCTCAACTCTACAGCAGAAACAGCTAACTGCATCAAGCCCTTCTTCATGAAGTAGTTCAAGAACACATGATACTCCAAACCCTAGTTTTGATGGCCCACAATTTATCAAAATCTCAACAACACCCTCTCTGCTTGACTGGATTTTGACCATTATTGAAGGTGAAGTGTCTTCACTCCTTGTGCTAATAATTCTTACTTTATTGGGATCTGAAATTACATCCCTCTTTAGCTTGTCTCTCTTGGCTTCTAATTCTCTAATGCTCTTCTGCTTCTGCTCTATATACCTCACTGCCTCCCTAACATGATCAGATATTGAACGTTTCCCCTACCATTAAATTAAGAAAAGGGAATTGAAATTGATACGAATCCAGACACTAATTAATAACATAGTAGCGTACTAGGTCGGGAATTCAAACCCCCTTTCGTATGAAAAATCAATGTGACCAGCACTTTGTCCCTTATTTGGATCGGCCGAGTGCGAATAAGTATTAGTCTAGTATGATACGTGCTTAAAGGCGCCTCCTACAGGGTCTGCTCAGGACACCTCATGGCCTGAGATACCCTAAACCTGAGGGCTCCTCATCAGGTTGCATAGTAATATCTGTTCAAACATACTTTCTCAACCTAATGAAGCAAACAGAGTCAACAACGCCTCTACTAAGGTTCGATCTCATGACCTCCCACGTGGAAGAGATCACTATGGCCCTGTTTGGTAAAAAATTGGCCTATAGGTCAATTTTGGCTTATTTGACCACTATTAATTGTTTGATTTAGTTAAAATATCAATACAAATGTTTGGTTAATTAGCTTTTTGCAACTCCAAAAGGCTAAAATTCAAAATGCTACTCCAAGCAACTTTTTCAATTAGCTTTTTGAGAAAAGAAATTATACCAAACAGCTATCAGCTAACAGCTAATTTACCAAACACTTTTCTACAATTAGCTAATATTATCAACTATTTATACCCTCTAATTAACACAATCAGCTAACAACTAACAGCTATCAGCTAACAGCCATTTTACCAAACAGGGCCTATATGTCATATGAGCACAAGGTGCTTGGCTTGGAGATTTGAACTTAAGCATTTGCTAGGATATTACTTCCACATTCAATTTTTTGACCACTGAAGTATACTCTAAAAATAAAAACGAGCGCACACAAACACACATATATTATTGTAATAGAAAATGAAGGAAAGCCAAACCCTAAGGTATTCAAGAGGGAGTTCATTGCGAAGGGAAGCATAAAGGGTAGCCATTTCTTGTCTTCTTCGCCTTTCAATCTCCCTATGATCAGCTTTTCTTTGCTTGTCACCCTTGGCATTGCTGTCACCTCCAACGCCACCATTGCCGGCCGCCGGGGACTCCGGCAGCTGCTTCTTTCCCTTTCTGCGTCTCCCCGCCTCCGCCTCCGCCGCTAACGGCACATCTGGATTGAGTAGCGGCGGAAGAGAGTGTTGTTGTTGGAAGACAAAAGAAGGGTCAAAGGGCTCAAAATAATCATCATCATTAAGTTGTAAAGTAAATGATGATGAAGGAAAAATGTTGTCCATTTTGGCCTATTCTACTCATTCCTAAAGTGCATATAAATAGACTAATTAAATTAGGTAAACAAAATAGGAAAAATCTTGAGAGCCGGTGACAAATTATTGTGCGGATCATAATTCAGTGTTGTGTGGACCATAATAAAAAATACATACATTTTTAATATATTAAAAGTACATTATTTATTTACACTACTGCAAATTATGGAATTTCCAATCATCTGAAAGTGATCTTAAATCAAGTCGAAAGTCTTGTTCCGACCACTTTTGGTATCCAGAAAAACATTTATTGCTATTTCCTACCACTTTTTACTTTCAACTTGATTTAAAATTACTTTCAAGTGGTCGGAAATTCCATAATTTCCAATAATATTACTGAATATATATTATACAAAATAATATACTTTCAGTACTCAAATAATACTTTTTTTAAATAAAATATACATTTTAATATATTATAAGTACATTATTTGATAATATGATTCACACAGTTTTATGGAGTATGGTCTAAACAATAATGATTGAGAACTGGTGAAGGTGGATGATAATGGGCCTCTCTTGTCGATATTTATTCTAATTCGCAACGTGGAAAATTGTGGTGCGCTAATTGCACGCTGCCACTTGGTATTAACCTAATTAAAAATATATGATATCATTAAAACATGCACAATATCTCATTAAATAATTATAATAACACATTGCAGGGTGAAGCCCTACACTTGCCTAAAAAATTTTACTTTAATAATTTCTTAACTCTTCATATCATATCAAATCATAAAAAAAAAAATGTCAATGGACCAGTCTAATCATGTGCAACCGGTGTGATGACACATATTAGAGGCCCTACATATATATATATATATATATATATGCGCGTATGAATCATTATTTGTATACTTAGGGCATCCCAAACGGGGATTTTGGGGAGATTTTGAAACAGCATAATTTTCTTTGTCAAGCTTTTTACAAATGAGAAGACGAGATTTTGATGAATTCTTCTTCTTACACCAGCTTAAAGTGTCTATAAAGTGTCCTTCCACTTGCATAGTTTGATGTGACTCCATAAAATGGGAGAAGATTGATGGTTTCGGCCCCATGTGGCTGGGATAGGATTCAATTCCTAAAATAAATAAATAATTAAAGAGTTAATACCATTTGAGGTCCTCCGAGTATAGTGGTTTTGCCACGTTTAGTCCTAAACTTTCAAATCGACCATTTGTGGTCCTTCGCCTTTTAAATTTAACCATTTGTGGTCCAAGTTAACCACCAATGGTCCTTCAACTATTAAATTTTGACCAACCATGGTCCTTTTAAGAGGACTACCACTGGTTAAATTTCGAAACTTGAAGGACCATGAGTGGTTAACTTGGACTATGAATGGTTAAATTTGAAACTCGAAGGACTACAAATGGTCAATTTGAAAGTTTAGGACTAAACGTGGCAAATCCACTATACTCGGAGGACCTCAAATGGTATTAACTCATAATTAAACTATGGAGACAAAATAGTGGGTCTACAAAAAGTTGTGAAAAAACTTAAAATTAATAGGAAGAAGAGATTTTGTGATTGGGTGAGATAGTAGATAATGAGGTGGATGTTGAGGTCCACAAAAATGTGGAGTAAAATCCTCAACTATTGAGGATGCCCTTAGTAATTATGTTTATAGAGTCCATGAATTCGTTTTAATTGCAATTGGAAATAAAACTTGAGAAGAAATTGATTGATATTGAAAATTTGTTGTAGAGTTCACTATACAACAAATTTAATACTGAATTTATGATGTTAAAAGTATAGAAACGACTTTGTATTATTGTATATAGTTGTGTGAATATGATATGAATGGAAATTAATCAGAGCATAATACAAATTTAATATAAAAAAAATATAGGCCAGGTGTGTGAATGTCCGAATGATATCAATCTCTCCATTCTGTGGATGGAAAGCCAACCGATTTGGTCTGAAATGACGTGCCATTTTGAAGTAGTTTTCACTTTTCATTGAAATGATAATAGTACTGTACCCATAACGGCTTTTGTTTTCTTTGTTTTGGTGGGTAGATATGTATTCTTAAAATATTAAAGCTTTTAATTCAAAATTATTGAACATGTGCTTAAAACTTGATTTCACTACTACAGTAATATATAATAGTATAATATTACGGAGTACTTACCAAGAAATAAAATAATGAACGAGATGTAGAGAAAATAAATATTAATAAATATTAAAACATACATACACATATAATTGAAACATGTGTTTCATCTCAACTAATAGTTGGATTATATATATTATATACTCAACACGTCCCCTCCCGTCAGCCGGTCGATTATTTTTTGATGGGCGTCAAGCAACACGTAGACCATAATTTTTTTATCGGGTGACGTGAAGATTTGAACCCATGACCTTTGGCATAGATTGACATACCAAATTAAAGCATGCGCTTCATCTCAACGGAAAGTCTAAACTAATAGTTTGATTGCACATTTATGTTTATATGCTAGTATTTTTTTTTATGCGCGATGCACAAAAAATATGTGTCAATATTAGTATTTTATATTAAAATTTTAAATTTATTTAGATTTTAGATATTTAAATTATTGTAAATAATAATAATGTAAAACATTTTTATAAATTTGATATTTATATTTTAAATCTAATATATAATTTTTTTTGGGTATACCCTGGGTTTCCACGCACTATCGGACACCGTGACTAATCCCCTTGCTGAATTATAGGCACCTCTTTTGGGTGGGACAGCTGGCTTGGAGATTTAAGGTGTTCCATTCCCAAAGCCAAGGATCGAACTCTTGACCTTTGGTAACTCCAATATATAATGTTTATATATTATTATTATTTTTCCAAGAGGCTGAACCCCAACCCTAAGGGCCCCCCACACCCCGATCCGACAGAGCATTTGGGAGGATGTATATATTATTATTATTGAAGAAGATAAGAAAATATAAGGTGAATGCATGTGCATGGTAATAATAGTGGAAAAGATAACGGAAGTTATAACGGTATATGTATATTTGTCCAAAATATTGTAAAGTACAACTTTTATAGCATAATGTATTAAAAAAAATTAACGAAAAAACAGACATAAATAAAGGGTATAACTTTCATTCACATTTATTATGTTTTTAGATTTTAGATTATATATGCTCAACACATATCATTATGTCAACTTAGATGGATTCATTCTGGAAAATTATAATTTATGTCCATCACAAATATAACAATTATCAATATCACCCCTGAATTATTAGTGGTGTAAATGTTTTCCTTCAATTTTTAAAACATGACATATGTTGCCCCTCCCCTGAATTATTAGTGGTGTAAATGTGGTTATCTGTCATTTTCTCTGTTCGAAGACCACGTTTTTTTCCTACAATTTCCTTTCTTCATTTGTTCTCTTCCAGCTGACAACAATATAATGTTTCTCCTTCTTCCTATTAGGGAATGGATGGGCAATATATATCACATTTTGAAAATTAAGGAGCAACATTTATACCACTAATAATTCAAGGGTGACATTAATAATAATTGACATATTTGTGAGGAACGTAAATTACAATTTTCCCTTCCTATATATGTATATATAATCAATTGTTTAAATTAGAATAGTATTGTTTAATATATGATAACATGTGATCGAAATCTTCACAAGTCATATATTATGAAACACTAGTCCCTGTATTCCTCCTTAGGGTTTGGACCACGAACTTCTAACGCGATGCTTTCAACATGTGCAAGTTTGGGAATAGTAATTTATACATAAAACAAATTAAAAAGAAAAATAGATTATGTCCCATGCACAGTTGGCACGAGCAATATGAGAAAGCCTATCCGAAATTCATTGTTTATATGATCGATAATGTTTTGTTTATATATATAGGGTTAGACTTTTGTGGTGGGTGAAAATTAAACCCTAATTCAACTTTTAATTGGTTAGGTTAGGATATTAGGTACAATATAACTGAGAACCCTAGCTACTTCTTCTAATCTTTTAATTCAATGTTGTACAATAATTGAATTAAGAGCCACCTGCCAAAAGAATAATGTATGCTAGTGGCCCGTATATGCAGCTTAGTTGGTCGATCTGAGATCGAGTTTCAACAGCGACAGTGTGAGAGCAATAACCTCTCAAAGTAAGAGGCTCCTTGTAAGCATTAGGTAAAAGTCTAGTCTCTGTAACAGTTAAGCTGAGTTATCATAATTTACATCTTTTCATCTGTCGGGTTGGGGATTCAGCCTTTTGAGAACAATGTATGGTAGGAAACCATTGGTATTACCTTAATCAACAACTTCCTTAAATAGGAAAACGGAAGTTTGAAGAAGGAAAAGGGAAGTTCGAAATTTCATTTCTTTTAGATAACTCATTTTGTGTACGTAAATTACTACATAAATTTAAGATCTGATGTGGAATAATTAACAACCAATTTTTTTTTTTTTTAAAGCACTTGATTAAAAATGATATATATGTAGTTTCAGAGAGACTGGAGAGCATTTGGTTAAAACATTGGAATCGAAATGTTAATTAAAATCAAATACTTCTTCTCTTAAATACTACCCTACTACCCTACTAAATAAGTGAGTTAAGACCAAATACTTGATATTGGCCTTAATGAGTTCAAGTAAAAAAAAAATTTTAAAAAAAAAATCGCTTTAATTTGTTTGATAGTAAATAAGAATTTGAATCAAAATAAATAAATAATTATATATATATATATATATATATATATATATATATATATATATATATACTAGCATTTTATACGCGCGATGCGCGAAAACTTATGCCCAATATTAAAATATTTGTAAGTAACAAAATTTTAAAAATTAGTTAAAATTATGTTTTGCAATTTCTTAAAGTGATGATACTTTTGAATTATCATATATTTGAAAAATATAGTGATCAAAACAAAAATAAATAAATTATATTTTGATATAATAATAATTTACAAATAATACTAAGCTAACACTCACATATATGATATATTGATATGGATACACAAATAATATATATATATATATATATATATATATATATATATATATATATATATATATATATATATATAT